CATAGGGAAGTTCAATACCATAGTTCAGACAAGTTTGATAACCAAAATTATTCACCTGCTATTTATTGAGTCATGGGCATTAGTTAAACTGATGAAACAATAATCTCAGAGTGTTATCGCCATGAACACTCAGTGTTTTATCACAGTTTCCTCAACCATTATACAACTGGCACTGTCTGTAAATGACCTTAATGTGTTGATCAGATACTAAACATTAGTTTTCTTATCTTCCCAGTTTCAGAATGCTTATTTAACTTATGACAGACATATCATGTACTGCCTCGCCTTGTGAATAACTTCTTATTTAGATATTGACAAGGCATGAGGTAAAGGGGGAAACAATTGGCTGGCTGACACTTTCCCAAGAGAATCTGTGGTAGTGAGGACAAAACTGGCTGACACACTAAGTCCATTGTCATATGGGTATTCCAGATGGCATACACTCTAATTTCATAATTTACCTTTCCCATTACAATGTACAATATGTTCCTAATGAGAGACATGTAACAGAATTTGTTATTTTCTTATCCATCTCAATACCAACATTTGGATTGTAATATGTACAGTTGTTATTAATTTTCCTTGCAGTTATGATTTTACATGTCCTCATATACAAGTACAGGTATTTATATGCCAGTATTGTTTGTTTATTTTTGTTGATATTAACATGGAAAGTAAGGGAAGAAACTCCATTTTGTCTTACTATGTTGTATTCACAATTACATGAACAAAACTATATTTTTTCAAAGTGATCCCTAATAACTCTTATTGTGAGCTTTCTAGGAGATCCTGTCCAGGATTTTGGATAGATCTGATTTTATTCTATTAATATTTTTACTCTAATTTGTACTTTTAAGAAATTTATTTTAATGAATTTCATCATCTTCATCAAGAGAGAGAATAAAGAGACATAATTTTGTAAATTAATACAAATTACTGAAAGAAATGAAATAACAAAAGAAGATTTTTTGTCGATCATGGAACAGTTGTATTGATAAATATTACCAAAAAAATACAGATTGTTAAGTTATCTTGCTATATATATTTGTGTTAGAAAATCAGTTATTGAATGCCTGCAATTTTCTCCATACAGGAAATTTGTAGGTTAATATCCTATTAAATATTATTAAAAGAGTTGTTCGTTTGTTTTAACTTACAAGTGAGGAATATCGAAAAACAACAGGATCAGAGTGAGTTCATTTGATTTATTACTAACCATCAACTAGTTTTTGTCAATTATAAAGTTCATATATATAACAGTGACAAAATTATTCAACAGAATTATAATTCTTAGGGGTAATTATTACAATTTACAGCTTTAAATGCTTGCAACTATATATATACATCATAATCCCATGTCTACTGTTTAAAGAATAGGGTGTCATAATTTATGTACTGTAGGTCTAAGAAATCCTATTTTGTCGTACTGATGAAGCCTGGAGAGGGTGAAACTGGTTGACGGTTAATAATAAATTTAAAGAACTCACTCTGATGCTGTTGTGATTGATATTCCTCACTTGATTTTCCTGACTGCTGAATCACTCTGGACACTCCCAGGTATCCAGCTGAAGAGTAAAGGAACCCATGATCCAGCCAACTAGCCAAACGACACTGGCTCTATTAATAAATCGTTTTAACTTACAAGATGTAAATGACAATTTTCACTTTAAAAGGGATTTTTTTTTTCATTTTTAGGCCATCTGACCGAAAGGTAACTAGGTCAAGATGACTTAATGCTATCATGCATCGGTTGTACTTTATCCATAAACTTTTCCTTTAAAACACTGCTCCTGCTAAAACCCTTTGTGGATTTCAACCAAATTTGGTCTGAAACAACATTGGTGGTGGGGAATCATTTTCTAAATTCAGGAAGTTGATTCGATGTTTAGAGACTTTGGGGCAGGGCCCCAAAATGGGAAATTAGACAATATTTTGCTTTGTGAAGGGCCATGGCCATCTTGTTTACTATAATGCATTATAGATTAATTGATAATTTAATGGTAGACTGACACTTGGGAGACAATTTCAACATCCCAAACCATATAAGTGACAATCAGGGATAGGATTCTAATGCTAAATTCATAAAGCATACAGAAACTGTGATTAGTGCTGTCATATTTCAGCACTAAAATATGTACTTCTATCATAACCAGCACAGCAGGCAGCAATCTTTAAGGAAGGAAAAACAAAACTCCATCGTTCTTCTTGAAACTTATTGATTTTATTACATAATTGAACACTATTGGTTTCAGTATCACACAACTCAATGCATGAGCTTTATAGTCATTACAATCATTGATACAAAATTTCTTGTTTGATTAAAGTCATTACCCTTGGTAATAGAACAAAGTTCATATAGCAGACAGGTGAGGTTTGTTTTAGCCAGACTACAACAATTCAAGTGTATCTGAGATACTGGCAAGCTGTATAGCCATGGAAATGAAAGGACAAAGATGTGGTGAGTTCAGACGGAGTAAAGTGAGACAAATTTTCATGTATTTCAGATGATGAGTAAAAACCTAAAGACTTAATTCCTGACAATTTTTCAGTGATAGATAAAAACTGAAAGCGAGAGGCCCAAGGGCCTTAACGGTCATCTGACTACAAGCAAGGAGAAGGTTTATTTTTTTTCTAATTTGAATGAAATCTTACTAAGAAGCTGTTTTCCCTGATGCAGATTGTCTTGGTGAGGAGTAAGTAACTGTAACAAGTTTTACCTATTTTTTACTGTAAAGCTCAATCGATCCAAGTGGTGAAACTTTAGAAGTTTGAAATAGGCATTGCACTGGAAAACCATGATTTTGCAATCATGTTACAAAATGGCCTCCCTGGCTGCCAAGTCAAAGTTTTGACAAGGTTGAAAGATACCAACACTTTGTTGGCTACCTTTCCTTAACACTCCCACCAATTTTCAGCTCAATGGCACCAGTGGAACTGGAGAAGAAGTTTCAAATGTTTTTCAAGATGATGCCCATCTTGAATTTCAGACCTGAAAAATTACAGCACTTGGTCAGGACCATCTCATGATCATTTCATGCAAGTTTAAGCTTCATCCCACTGGTAGAGCTTGAGAAGAAGTTTAAAATGTAAAAATGTTTGTGCACAGTGTATGGCGCATGGCTAATGGCGCAAGGCAGACGACGACAAACGAAGCACAATGACTATAGGTCATCATGACCTTTCGGGTCAGATGACCTTATAACATCACCTAGACAATACCCCTAAAATCTGCAGCCACAACTTTCAAATAATTGCTAACTTGTCCAAAAATTGCAGTCCAAACTTTTAAGTAATTGCAACAGAATTTTTGTCTTCAAAGTGACTGATACTTGTATTACGGCAAAATCATCAGGATTGGACAAGTAATGAAAATCACCTGTTTGAAACACATTCAATTATAATACCATCTCTGTATTTAAATTTAGCATGAGAAAATAAAAAGTATTAAAAACAATCTCAATTGGAAGATACATATGGTACAAAATTCAATCAAAGACCTCTTTGTGCATGGAATCTGTATTGAATTTGTAAAGAAGACAAATATTGCTTTCACTCTCAAAAGTACTTATAAAAGCTAGCAGAGCTCATTTTGGAGTGTTCCAAGTCCAAATTGAAGAATTTGCAAATTACTACAAATTGCCTATCTAAAATTAATACAACTAAAGGTAAAACCAAAAAAAAATGTGAAAAATTGATTAGTTAAAAGTCTTTGTGGTTAAAAGTTTTGCTTGACATTATGTGATCACTACCTGTTGTACACTTTACGTACCTGTAGTTCTATAGAACAGCATACTATCAGAAATGTAAAACTTGTGGAACCCTACATATAATTTTTTCTATATTCTACAAATTCATTATGAACCAATGCGTCAGTACAGTCAGTTGACAATTTTTCATTTATAAATGACTACAGTCCCACCAGTAACACCTAAAATTGGATAAAAGAATAACATTAATCCCAAACCTTCTTATATGACTATACCTTTAGCCAACAAGGACAAATATCATTTATTTGTACTGTAAATCACAATGAATTGGAGGATAGCTTGAAGTGAAAGGATGATGACTCCACATTAAAAATAGAGATAAAAGCTGAAGTCAGCAAAAATTATACTCTGTATCAAAGTTATACTATGTATCAAAATCTTTGTTGAAATTTCTTCAAAACTGAGATGCAAAAGTGAACAAATATATCCAGAATAAGGCTTGAGTCCCAAAAACATATGACAGGAAACTGGCTGCTGGTATACAGTTTCCTGGTTAGGGCATGACTCTGAAAACATACAATAGGAAATTGATCGCTGGGATACACCTTCCAGAACAGGCATGACTAGGAAAACATATGACAGGAAATTGGTCGCTGGGATACACCTTCCAGAACAGGCATGACTATGAAAACATGTGACAGGAAATTTGTTGTTGGTATACAGCCTCCAGGATAAGGCATGACTGTGAAAACATGACAGGAAATTAGTCTCTGGTATACAGCTTTAAAGTCATCATTCTAAAAGTGTTTTAGTAGGCTATGCTATTTTATGTATTAATGAAACTTAAACCTATTCAAATACAGTGTATTTTGACTTCAGTACTAATCTGTTTAGTAAGTGAACTCCCTATAAAGAATCATTAATACTCCAAATATAGAATAATCAATTTCAATTAAAAACATATTACTGTGATTTTATCTTATTGCTTGTATTGATCAATATGAATGTCAAAGAGATTCCATTTCGGTAATCTAAAGACTGGCTCAAAAACATCAATAGGTTACATATCTGAGAAAAGTATCTGAATTTCACTTAATTTGAATAATAACAAGGGAATTTATATCATTTAAGATTATGATGAGTAAAATGTAGACTTCTATATTTATTGAGCAGATCCCACTAAATCCAGACCTGTGGTGTGGAACATACTTTGATCAAAGTTATAAAACAGTGAATTCATTTGTAATGATAAATCTTAAAAATATGAACAAAAATAATTAATATCTCCTTGACATCATTGTTTCAAAAACAAAACAAAAAATATGTACATGTACATCTTATGTTCAATAAAATTGGTAAAACTTTCATTTATAGTATTATTACATTTTACATAAGAGGTTGATATTATTTTATCACAATTAAATGTGGGAACAATATCAATAAATATTTGAACAATATCCTTTCATCAACTTCAGTTCCATTCCACTGATACAAAAGTACTTGAATCCATAATATTGGTTGACAAATAATTAGTCTCAAGGTCTTTCTCCATTAAGTAGGAATTTTTCCTGTAAACTACTTTTATTTAGGTATTAATTTCAACAAGAGTAAACATTAGGGCATGAGGAGATTAACATTTCTTCAAAAAAAAAGGGAAAATATTTACAAGGCTTTCACAAGAAAGAATCCAATCACATATCACCTCAAGACAGGAAGCTATCATGAATTATGGTAGGGAAGTTTTGTTTTCTTAGTAAATGTAACCAAAGGAATCTGCATGATTTTTTGATGCAAGAAATGATCAACTGCACAGATTAAGGACCATTCATTGTCCATATCAATGAGGTGATCACAGAGAAATAAGGTAAGCAATAAAAATGTATTTGGAAATTTATTGATAACAACAGCAGATTTTAATATTTGCAGCCTCTGTCTTATAACTACATTTGATATAACAAAGGACTATTACAGTGTATAACAATATATATTTTCTTCTAACAGGTCGTGTAGACAGTGATAGCATGTCTTAATTGATTAAATATATACTTAAATTTTGGCACATTAAGTTAATGCATTTTGCATATAATGCTAAAAATCAATTTTGTTACAAATCAAACAAAATACATGATAAATCAGTACTGACCTTAGACTCCAAATTCACTGTACCATGACAGTGTAAAGGTTAAAATGTATTCCTTCAAATTTAAACTTAAAAGTTATCAATCAGTTTTCTTCCTCATCATCAACATCATCAAACTGTCCAGTCTCTGTTTTAAAGTCTACTTTGTATTTAATGATAGGATCTGTGTGGATATCATACGGCAGGAAAAGATGTTCATCCACCTCATAACCAGCTTCCTCCAAAGTCTTTGGATGTGGGTGCTGGTATATATTATTGAAGTCATCTGAAAGATGTGAAAAAGTCACATTTTATACTTTATGCAATTTATCATACTGCACAATTCATTTTTTTTTTTTGCTTTTTTTTTCTTAGAATATTTAGCACATTCAATCTTTTGTTCTAGCTAATACTTCATTAAATGAAACTTCTCTAGTAAAAGTTAGCCATTTAATTGATTAAGGGTATTCCAGATAAGTATCTTTCTCACACGAGTACACCAGGTGTCATTTAGAGGTACCACCCATTGAATTTAATTGATAATTCACTTAGAATAAATATACAGTTACTGGTGGAAAGCCAAAGCAGGGTTAGTGATTTTTAGCTCACCTGGTCTGAAGGATTGGGAATCAATTTTCTGTAAATGGTGGGTTCGGCTCCCTGGGCGGTAGGGGTGGGACCCAACAGTGTCAATAGAGCATATTCTTTAAAATCCTATTCCTCCTGTAGGAATGATTCAATTTTACCAGAATTTTTTCAAAAGCATTCTTGCATGAAAGGAAAACATTTTGTATAAACAATGGTCCTTGACCCCATGGGGTGGGTTGGGCAAATCTTTATAAGGTCAGAAACATGAATGGTTTGGCTGACCCCCTAGGGACTGAGGGTTTGGGCCTAATGGGAAATAGAGATATGTTCTGTATTGTGTGCTTGGATATTAAGAGTTTCCTTTCCATCAACTTCAGCAAAGCAGAGTCAGGTGAACAATAAAGGCCCTATAGGCCTATTGTTCTAGATCCTTAGGTCAAGTTTATGTTTCACTCACATAATCCTTAGTAATAACATTCCTATTGAAAACTGTCCAACAAGAACCCGTCCTTTACATAACTAGTTTCCACATGGCCATGTTACAATTACCATAAGGATTTTTTGCTTCTATCTCCTCAATCTCTGCATCCCAGTCTTCCACAGGTTCTGCTGGATCCTCTGAAGCTGGTTCTGCTGTCTTAGGCACAGGTTCTTCTTCATTCCCTGCATTATGTAGTATTGGAATTAAATGTCACTACAATAAAGGGTCCACCTAAACCTCAGAAGGAATAGATTTTTTTCCATTTCTATTTTAAATGCTTAAATGTAAAAAGCATGTGAATTCATACAATGTTGAATCATTTTCTTATGGAAATTATTGTCAATTCATCTATACTTATTCTCCTAACAAAATCCTGAAAAGTCCATTCACTGCTTTCAAATCACAATTGTACTATGAATTTATAGAAATCAACATTATGACAATAATAGTACCTTGCAGATTTTAAATAGCATTTGAGTTATCTTTCACATCTTTTGAAATATTTTGAACAAACCTCGTCTTTTTGTTTTCGGAAAAAAGGGTGGCGGTTCATAGTCATCATCTCCATTCAATTCGTCACTATCATCATCACTGCTTGTCTCTGTGACTGAGGTTTCTGGGCTGTATCTTGTGTAGCCCTTGTCATAGGGACGGACAAATTTCTCTCGTTTCTGGGGGCCAGTGTGACTACGCCAGAATGAGGAAGAGAGATTAAGCTCTGCAGCTCGTCGGTACAGATCATGGGAATAACCATTGATATTATTCTGCTTTTCCTTCTCATCATCCTCACTCCCTTCACTATCATCCCTCTCTATCACTGGGACCTATCACAGAAAAAAAACACAAATGTTCATCTCTTTTACGACTAGACCAATGTCGAGGAAGGGCCCCGCATAATACCTACCCCTTATGATTGAGTTTCTTAATATTAAGAAATATATGGACAGGTGTCAAGTATTGAAAGCAACTTTCATCAAAATCCAATGAAAATGGACAGATGGACAGATATATGGATCGACAGACAAGGAAACGGATGGACAGACAGACGGACAGGGTGAACATTGAACTCGAATGAGGGGCTTATGTACCAAGTATCACAAAGCAAGTTTTAAAGAAATCCCAAATCATTCCTTCAGAAGATATTCTCTGTAAAACATTCAGCCAATCAGATTGCAGCAGCCTCATTAAATATGCGCTTAATTCGGCAAACATCGAACTTGAGCGAGGGACTTATGTACCAAGTATCATAAGCAAGTTTCATTGAAATCCCATCATTCCTTCTCAAGATATCGCGTGGAAAGCGAAACCGACAGACATGTAAAACATTCAGCCAATCAGATTGCAGCAGCCTCATTAAATATGTGCGGAATTTGGCGAACATCGAACTTGAGCGAGGGACTTATGTACCGAGTATCATAAGCAAGTTTCATCGAAATCTCATCATTCCTTCTCAAGATATCGTGCGGAAAGCGAAACGGACAGACAGACGGACAGACGGACAAGGTGATTACTATAGGGCACCCGCATCGCGATGCGGGGCCCTAATAAAAATACAAAGTCTTATTCACTACTGCTATTACATTTTTTTACAAAACAGCCCCTTCCTACCTTCATAGGTTCATATGCCTGTCTATGGCAAATATCACAACAAAAGACTTTCATTAAATCATGTTACCATCAAACAAACCTTCTTCTGTTTCTTTCATTACCTTAAAACAAATCATATTGAAAACATGTGTTGTGATTATGAAAACAACAGTTTTGGATGGCCTCCACTGCTGACTAGAAATTTTCTGAATTATTGCAAAATTTTCTCATTCAGAATTATAAATTATTTCCTATCTGAGGTCTGCTCATTAGTAGCGAGGAGGTGATTTTGTTCCTTTTTGTAAATTTTATTTCATTGCAGAAAAGATTATTCAAGGCAAAATCGCTTTGGAAGGAGGATTGGAAGAAGGTTTTCTTTCTTGTTTCTCCCTTTTGGACCCCCACCATCCTTGACTAGACCCTCACATTGTACAAAATTGACTCTCCTTCACCTATTAATTCTGTATATCAAACCTCAATATCCCAATTGGTCCCTGCCCTCTGCCACTAGAACACAGCCCTCCATGGACACAAACTATACCCTTTTCATACACCAAATCAGCCTAAAATCAGAAATGAAGATGAATCACATGGCCATCTATTTCCATATTCCAGTCATTTAATCGTAAATTGTTTGACCCGTGAAGAATTTATTGCAAGCAATACTGATAATGCCAGTCGTTGTCAGTGTTCAGTGTGAGGAATATCAGTACCTTGTCAGCTTCCCCCTTGGTGTTATCTTCGGGAATGACAAGATCCTGACGGGGTCGCCCACGCCAGTTGTTGCTCAGGTTTGGGTCACGTTTAGCATAGATAACCTTCTTCCTTAGACTGGGAACATCTTGCCATCGCATGGGCAGCTTGTTCTAGAGAAGTGAATAAGTCACAGTTTATAAAAGTTTCAAACCAAATTTCATCATGTGCCAGATATTGTCAACGGTATTGACAAGCATTCGTAACATTCCACCACATTTAAACCTAGTTATGTTTCCATATTTCATAATTGACAGTAATATTCAAACATTACCATTGACTTTGCATGTATACACTAAAGTTTCATTATCCTATTTTAAATGTAAGCCAAGTTATGCTCCGGACAAGAAATTTTTACAATGGGCAATAACTCAACTCAACTGAATTTGGTACGAAGCACATCACTTTATTAAGACCAATTTTTGTACCAAGCTTCATGCTGTAAGCAAAGTTATGCTCTGGACACGAAAGGACAGATGGACATAGCTGCAACTATATGCTCCCCCAAAAACTTAAGGAGAGCATAATTATGTTAGAACTGGTCTCAACAATGTTTAGGTCTTTAATCACAGCTAGTACATATACCTGTATATATCATATATCAGATGTTACTGATCTGAAGAATCAGCAAGAATTACTATACCGTTATGTAATAAGTCAATCCCCTGACTTTGATTCAAAGAATGTTGTCCCCTCCTTTGGTCTTACCAGTATTGCATGGTGAATATGATGAATCTGTATCCTTTTTCAAAAAAAATATTTTGTGATTGTTTACATAGAATTTTTGTATTTAAAATAGCTTCTCATCTAACTAAAAAAATCTACCTTCAAAGAAAGTAATGTTTGACATTGCATGCATCCCAACTGTGAGGTCAAATCAAAAGGACTCCAGTACTTACCTCATTCAAATCCATACGGACTAGCTTGGTGAAGTGTTCTATAGCTGTGGGAATTTCTGTAAGTTTGTTATTGAACAAGTCCAGGGTTTTGAGATTGACCAATCCACTGAATGATTCTGGAAGCTCTTCTAACTATCAACATCAAACACATTATCCACTGATGATTAAATATTTTAAAACGAAATTCATCAATATCTGAATAAATTCAATCAGATATTTTGTATAATTTATCTTGAATTTGTTTTCATTTACTTTGTGGTATGATACTGATGTACCCAAAATTGTCCCTAAAATTCAGTCTGAACCATGTACAGCTGTATTAAAATGAAACTCGAAACTTGGTTCATTTGATATAGACAGTTACAAAATACTTTTCAATCAGTACTGCTTCACATTTACAGTGAACAAGTTCAAAAATATTCCAAATGCTACTCATGCAGACTTGACACATAATCAACAAAAAAGTTTTTACTGAAGATATAAACACATGTGATCTACATCTTAGAGATGAGAATATTGGTGAACATCAATGGTAATCTGTTAGAAACAATAATTTTTGTACAAAGAAATAGAACATTTCCAAACCTTACCAAATTGTTGTCTAATCTTAAGTCTTCTAATGCAGTCAGATTTCCAAATGAACTTGGGAGAAGTTGCAGCTTGTTTTTTGATAACTGGCAAAACTTCAGAGACCTTAGATTCCCAAATGATTCTGGCAAATCACTTACCAGATTTTGACCTGTCAAAAGTTTTATAATATTAAACATAAATTAAAAGAAGACCCTTTGTGGATAAGTTATATGTGCAAATGTACCAAGAACAGCTCACAATCAGAACATTTCTCTAGTAACAGATATAACAGTTGAAATACATGTATTCTGGAATGGTAAAAAAATACATCATCTTTTTGGCAGTAATTATTTCATGACTTTACTATAAAAAGATGCTATCATTTGTGTAGTATGTATTATATTAGTGTGTGTGTATGCACCGGAGTATACATGTATATACCAAACAATACATTTAAGATATTCAGATAATATTCAAAGTGTTAAATACTAGCGTAACATATGGCACTGTAACAAGTCATTAAGAAAATATCATATGTCTACATAGTATCTATTCCTCAGGAAATTAATCATTTAGGAAATTTCTACAATCCACAAAGTCATCATCAAAACATTTTTATTTATTTTTCAACTACTCGCACCTAAAAAGTGATAACAGCAATAACAGTGATTACTAAATCTAGATTGGTTTCACACTTACCCAAATCTAGGTATTCAAGACACACTAAGTTTCCAAACTCTTCTGGGAGAGCTTGAAACAAATTTTCATTTAAATGGATTTCTTTAAGATTCACTAAATCTCCAATGCTATTTGGTAAATAGCTCAGCCAGTTGCCATTTTGGAAAGCCCACCTTTCAAGTTCATCTATCACACTTCCAAGATAAAACTTTTCCAAATTTGTGAGTTTTCCAATGGAGTCTGGTAGTTTAGTCATGAAGTTACCTCCAAAGTCAAGTAGTTTAAGCTTTTTGCAGTTTCCTCCAAATTGTTCAGAGAATGGTTCCTTGTGGAATTTGTTATCCTTCAAGGAAAGCTCAACAGCTTCATACAGATCTGCTATCCAGTCTGGCATTTCTGCCAACTGGTTTCTATCAGCATAGAATTTTTTCAATCTACAAGCAGAGTTGAAGTGAGATGGTAGAGACTTAAGAAAATTCCCTGACAAGTCTACAGCTTCCAAATTTTTCAAATCACCTAATGTTTCTGGAATTGCCTTTAGTTTATTGCTGCATAAATTTAGGACGTGTAAACATTTCAATTGTCCGATCCCATCAGTTATGTGATCTATCTTATTTTCCTCCAATTCAAGTATTTCTAATTTTTCCAACAGACCTATTGTGCTTGGGAGACTTTCCAACTTGTTGTCATCCAAGCATAATATTCGAAGATTTCTAAGTTCACCAATATTGTCTGGTAAAATTTTCAGGCTATTTCCTGTTGCTTTCAGTACCTGGAGATGAGTTAAATCACAAATTGACTCAGACAGTATTGTCATACAATTTTCATTTAAGTGTAACTCTCGTAAACAACCTTTACATCCAGTCAATGATGGCAAAAATGTGATTTCATTTCCTGTGAGAGAAAGCACTTCCAAACTGGGGAAACACTTTGAAAAATGTTCAGGTAATGACTCAAGATCATTGTAATCAAGAAGCATTTGTTTGACCTGTGATGATGACCTGATGAGAATGTCCTCTGGTATACTCTGAAGGTCACGAGATGACAAGTCAATTTCTACGTGACCTGTATCTACATCAGAGGACATAACCTCCATATTTTCTGTTTCACTTGAGGCTGGCATCATCCATCAGAACAGAACATATGCACAGAATTTCTGTAAACAAAAAATAACATACCTTAAATTTTAAAATGGATGTAAATAGCAGGCAAGTAATTGTGATAAACCACTTCTATAGTTTGGCATGAATATTAAATTGGTAAATAAGTACAATGAATATAGGTACCTCAAATGTGAACTAATCTCATAAAAACATTGACTGCCATGACTGTTGACAACCAAATCTTCAGTGAAGTTTCTCTGTTCCTATAAATTTGAGGCATAATTGTATATATGGCTAAATTATTTTATATAAACCATACCAAGAATTGTAATGTAGCAAGCTGCATTTACACTGTCAGTGCAGTAATTTATAGAAAGTTTGGGTACGACATGATACATAATTCAAAAGAATAGACATGTGGGATATGAATAACCTACACTCGGATGAAGAATTTTGGTTAGAATCAAAGCTTATTTATATATCAAAAACAGTCAATAGTAGCGCCAATATTGTGGTTTTAAGCAAGATTGTCATAATATGTGTGTGCATATGCGTTTTATCTTTAAATTAACCATTCAAAATCAAATGGCCAATGTTTATTTCCATTCCCTAGGTAAGATACTTATTTGCAAACTAATGTTTCTACATAACTTTCCTATATCTCATACAGTATGCATATCTGTTTTATGCACTTTATGATGCGGCTGTACACCGTTGTGTGGGGATGAGGAAATTTGTAGGACCTGTAAGTCTGAGACAGCTGTCCTGGCATCAAGCATCCATGAGGCAGCAGGTAACAAAACACCCACTGTTTAAGCAAGTACACGTAACGAATGAAAGGCAGATGGAAAATATCAGAGTCGATGTCAATTTGTAATTCGTTTCAGATAAAACCAGTGCAACTGACAATGATTGACATATTCCATCGTTCTAATTTGATTTCCAGCTCCGAATGCAAGCTCACAAAACTTACCGGAAGTTTACAAACGCACGATTCTACCAAAAAGAGGAGACGTCGGCACAAAGATTAATAAATTAAATCTAGTCCAAAACAAATGCTTGACCGTAAACATAAGTTCATAAAATATATTCCATTCACATTATTGTTTTCTTCTGGTTTTATTTCTTTTTCTTATTTTACGACATTGTATATTTCACTTTCGGCAGGGTTTTTGACAGGCGCTTGTTTTGATTTCAGCACAGAGTTGTTTACAGTTCTGTTGGAGATGGTAGTATATTGACTTCATGAGGTCCTTTCATGTAACTTAATTGACTCTGCTTTTTATTCCATGATACCAGTATTGTATTTCAATTTAGACAATGTCGTATTGTACTCATAACTGATGAATCTGAAAGTACATTCAAGAAAGCATGCTCTAACTTGTTTTGCAGGGGTAATTTTGCCCAACTCGGGTAACTGCAATGTTGTAGCTCAGACAACATGATGATTTATGCTGTGTTGTTTATGGTAGGATGAAAGTATAAATATTAGTACGATACATTGCCCTATCCAAGCAAATAGGCATGCACTGTGTACATATATTCCGATTTTAAAACAAGACACATCTCACACTGATTATAGAGACACAGCAGACAGAAATGAGAGCTCATAGCAACTCTCTTCATTATGATTAAAGCTGGATAATTCTCTGACTATACCTTGTGAAGGTGAAATCTTATCATATAAGACTGAATGCAAGTCCGAGACAAGTCATTTTGGTAGTTTGAATTCCATTTAATTTAATGGTGCCGCATATCTAACTGACAATGTATATGCAATAACAGTCTACCATATTATAGACATTTTGATAGAATTAGGTCCATGTTAGTCACTGCAATATTTAAAATCAACAACAAATGTGTTAGTTAAATGCTGTTTTATTTTTTTCTTGGTACCTATCATACTGAAACAACTTTTTCCCATGAAAACACTAATTATGTTCAAAATAACTTCTGCCTTTGTCCCAAAACAACTTGTTACCGAAACAACCTGACTGTTGAGTCTGGAATATTGTAGGCTTATGTGGCTATTGAATCAAGGGCACTGTAGGATTATGTAATCTTAAACTATTGAGTCTGCCAATTTGTGGCAGTTGAGTGTGGGGTACTCCAGGGGTCAGTCTTTGGACTGTGATTTTATCAGTACATTTTATTTGTTTGGTGCATTCTTTAACCAAATTTCCACAACCTATTATATCCTTAATGAAATTCATCTTCAAGGCTGTGTAGATCTTGATATAATGTTTCAGTGTTATGCACAGAGACTATTGTCATCCATAAACAGACATATACTATACTTAGGAAAATGTTCTAGTTATACAATTTGTAGTAAGAAATAGACAAGGACTCATTATGCATCCCTGATATACTACAGACAGCATGTGATGTTGTACATTAACACAAGCACAGACTTAACTTGTCTTGGCCTCTTAAAGCTTTAGATGAGGCCAGGAGATAATTCATATGATAGCTTCATTTTTGTATCAATTCATCCCATATTTTGTTGATTTGGATACAAATTTAACTCAAAACCGCCAGTATGTATTATTGAATGCAGGTGTGACTTTCGTTACTTGTGATATTGCTAGAAACAAGAATAGCATGGAGTTTCATTTCGGTTTCTAGGTCTTGTTACATAACTATCATTACCTGTGACATTGCCTGATGAAAGAATGGCTGATTCAGATGAAAATTGGAAGGAATTGGCTGCCCAGAAGGAAAGAGAATGGAAGGAAGTCACAAATCAAAGGTAAAGAAACTGTTTATATACATATTTATCTTTAAGTAAACAACATTTTACTTATCTGAAGTTGGAGCATATGCTGTAGTGCTTGATAATGTATACCCAGATAGGTCTTTTTCTGATGTCTTTAACTTAAAATCTAAAACTTAAAATGAAACCCATTAGTTTCTTTACAGTTGAGCATGTAATATCAATGTCTCAAACAGGTCACTCTTTGCTGAACATTCGTTTTCTGTCTTGCTATTTACTGTTATGTTTTTAAACACTTCGTCCTGATTTTGGATGATATCCACTTGAATAGTTTGCATTAACATATACAGTAATTATCTCATTTATTATTGTTGCTCATGAAATAAATTATCAGATCCTTTTTCTGTCAGTTTTGAGTACCAGATAATTCTGACAACCAATGATGGCAGCCTCACAGAAACTTGAAAATTCTATACATATGTATTGTACACACACCCCACTTTGGAATATATTTCTAAAATAAATTGTGCACATAACATGGGTTTTTACGGTAGATACTAAAGGGTATGCAAGGTGATTGAAGTACCAGGGCATATCTACAACCAATAAATTCTGATTGTACCACACTTTAATGTTTGCTGAAAAATAGGTGAGTCAGCTATACATTAACATATTTTTTTAAGTGTTACTACTTTTACATGTATACTTAGAATACAAACCCTGGAGGCAGCTTACAAAGACAAGGATAGACAGCTTCAAGAGGAAAAAGCAAAATTCACAAAACTTAAAGAAGATTTCAAGTACAACATGAAAGTCCTCGAGGAGAGAGACAAGGAACTAGAAACATATGACCTAACTTTCAGTGGTATGTTGATTATCTAGCTGATTGTTATCATGGCTCTAATTGTATTATAAATACCTTTAGTGGGACTCAACCAATGACAAGGAACAACCAAGCTGTACACAAAGAGAATACCTGGGTATATGGTCATTGTCTTATTTTATAATTTGTTTGTCCACAGCCAAAATGCAACTTACATTTTAAGTGACTGACTGTGCTTTTCAATCTGCAACATTTAGTTTGAAAATTCACACTATCAACACAATTTGTTATTTAATCATTTTTACCTGTAATTGACATTACACTGAATTAGGCCTGATGGCATATGTTAAAATAATTGCTATATGAAGATATGGTTCCAAACTGCAATAGAAATAACAACAATTTTATGAATTGTTTGTTACAACAAATCTAATTGTCTATCTTAACAGTAATTCATATTTTAAATGCAATATTTACCAGAGGTTACAGTAAATCAGATTGTGATTCTGTCTACCAAGGTAATTAGTGCACATGCTGAAGTATAATTGTCAAAACAAAGGAAATATATATCTGGTAGTTGTATGCCAACATTTGCAGCACAAATTGCAGGATAAACACCTTTACTGGGATTCAAAAATGATAATGAATGACATATGTATATTTAGCTGTTACTTGACAAATTACCACGAACAACCAAGCTGCATTATAAATAACTTTACAAGGATTGGACAAATTATGAGTTATTCAATTTACTCTTGTTTGATGGTTGTTACCCCCTGATAACCTAAACCGAATACATCTAGATCCTTAATCTTTAATCAAAAAGAGAAAGGTATGAACATCTTCATAGACAGTCTCAGGTTGATCACAGGAGCAGGTAAGGTCACAAGACTAAATGATATACAATTATACATTACATATCCATATCGGTACTTGGTACTGAATGCAAAGTATTAGGATATTTGATTCCTAAATACTCTTTTAACAGTTCCTTCCAAATTAGTTTGTGTCCTTTTTATATTTCCACTTTAACCTCTCAAAACAATTAGGTGGTAGGCAGCAGGTTAAATTTTTACTATGATATTTAGAAGGATAGTCGTGGGGAATGAAATTCTTGCCCTATACATGTATTTCTATCAAACTCTCTTTAGCCTTGGTGTGATTGTTTAGTTCCATTTCTGTGATGCTTTACATCATACAGTCCTCAATATTTACCTGAATTCACAAACAGGTGTGTGCTACGTCTTTTCTTGTTATCAACTATAGTAAAATTAAACTGCAGTTTTCTTTACTTCCTTCAAAGCAATGGAGGGGGCTTCTGTATTTTCTACAAAAAATTTCTTGTTTACAACATAGATGTAAACCTTCTTTATAAAATACAATATTGAAAAAAGAAATACTTGTTTTGCTGTGAGTTGGTCTAAACTGTAAATAAGTTTCAGTTTGAATTTACTCTTGGTCTTTATACATATACAGTCCATATTTTCTATGTTTATTTGTATATTTGTGTGTATTGAATGTCCTTATTCACCATGGCCAGAGCTGAAGTCCAGCCTGAATGTAAAGAATGGAGAGATTAGTGAGATGAAGATTAAGTTGGATGACATGAAAACCTGGAGTGACAGGGAGAACCAAGCTCGAGAAGAACTGCAACTTCACTATCAACAAAGATTGAAAGAGAAACAGGCAGAAATTGATTCTTACAGATGGTAAGTACAAGATACTGTTAAGTGTGTTGAAATCTTGTGTCTTTTAAAACTTTAAAGATTTTTGTTAATGTTTTCCTTGTTTGAGATTTTACTTATTGCAAATATCTGGAAGAGTGTGAGACAGAAACCAGGGAAATTTTGTTTCATCGAATAAATTCATTACACTGAAATTTGAAACAAATGTATGAAAGGCTGTGTGATGTATATCAATATTATTACTATTTTCTGTTGTAGTTTCTAGTTTTTGCATTAAATTTTTCAGTTCCAAAGACTCTGAGTTACAGCAGGAAAGAAAAGAATTTGAGAATTTCAAAAGGAATCTTCAGAGAAAATTGACTGAAGTTGAAGAAGAACTGGATACACAAAGAAGGGAACTTAGTGCAGGTACAGTATGTAATTCCTATTAACGAGATAAATTACCTGTACACATGACCTTTTATTGAAGTAAAGGTAATGTCTGAGTTATATAAGGGAGTGAGGTGTTTATTAATACAAAGCAATTGAATCCTGTCTAAGCTAATCATATTTACTCCAATGAAAAATAGAGTAAATTGCAATAACTCTTTGGATAGATTGACTTGAGATCATTTTTAATCTATGCTTGTTTGCTTTCAGAATTTGAAGATTCCTTGAAGAGAAGGGAGCATGAATTTCGTTTACAAACAGATGAAATGAGCACAAAAGTTTTAGAGTATGAACTAAAGGTATGTCAAGTTTAATGTTAGATAATATTCTATGAATCAACTGACTGGAAAACTTTCAACTTCAGTTACAAACCAAAGGGGGCATTCATCAAATAATTCATTTGACTGTATGTCAAAACATTTTGTCAAGGCCTAAGTATTGCAAACATATCATTGAAAATTTGCACCCATTTTACTTACCTGATATAACATAAATCTACTCAAGCTACTTCCATTAATTTTTATTTTCGTGCATTATAAAGATTTGTTTATCTATATTAATATGACCATGCACCAGTGTAAATGCTGTTTTTCATTTACTAAACAATTTCATACCTTTTCATATGAAGTTAGTGTCTTTTCATTGGATGCAATTATCAATATTTAGGTGACAAAGCTACTTTATTTTACAGATAATGTTTAAAATCATTCAAATAATCTAGTACTACCAAATGATGAAAATGTTAGAACACGTGTTGTTTTGAAAGGCCTCAGGTTACTGAGTAAGGATTATATATATTGCTAGACAGAGTTTCTGGAAAACAGATGTAAAGACATGTGTATATGTTTATATATAATTAAAAAACTATTGGAAGCAAACTTTACATTTAAATAACTAGGCCAAGTTATTGGGTAAGGAGATGGAGATAATGAAGGCAGCACAGGACAGGAATGCCAAGGAATACACTGAGGTTGAGAAGAATCACAGACAGCTAGAAAAAGCTCTCAAGGAAAAGGACTGGGAACTCTCTGACTTGTCAGCCATGAAGGATGCAAGGTACACCTGTTGTTAGGGGAGATTACTGTTACTAGGAGGCCTTTCAGTGGACATAGTTGTATCACAAAGATGTAATATCAATCTGGTACCAAAGGTCAAGCCATTAGTTGAGTAAAATGAGTACTTTATGTCCCTACTGAGAATTGGAAGGGGACCCGTAAATGTCCATTCTGATCATTCCTCATATTGTTTAGGTGCATATATCTGTAGGTAATATTTGTAAGATTTTATTTTATTACAAGGGGAATTTTTTTAATAGATCTGCCAGTTACATGTATAATGAGAAATTCGATTATGAAGGAAATAACTTAATTCAAAGTTCAGTCCAAATTTTTTATTCGGCTCCATCAAAGCTAGAGTTTGGGTGTTAGTTGTACTTGGATCTTCACGGAATCTGTTTTGAAGGTTGCAATTTTTAGATGCAGGTTCTTTTTATTTTTATCTTTTATGGCACAATTAAGAAGGGAAACGTGTGAGATTATGCTTACCAGTTGTTAACAACCTCCTGTCATTTTCTGATTGTTTCAGGATTTCTGATCTTGAGAAACAGATACAACAGGCAGAGGTGACCATGAATAGAATGAAAGAAGACTTTCAGAGAAAGTAAGTCTGGCCATGACTCTCTCCTTTAAAGTTACAGTATCATGTTTTACTTGTTCAATCAATCCTTTCATTACTATGGTGACTTCCTAAACTATGCAACTCCTGTTCATGTGTATGCGTATCTTTTGTATCTCCCAGATGTAATGAAAAGGAAAACCTTTTTATGATAATTTTATTAATTAGAAAACATCACAAAATTAATTCTGAATGACTCTGATCTTTTGGTTACATTTAGTACATTGTTAATGGTGGTCACACTGTAGAAAATCAAAACTGTCTTTATTTTCAACTTTAACATTGCTGCAGGAAGATAGCAAAGTGACCTTCTTGTTGTTTAACCTGAAGTAGAGCAAACAGGCTGTCAGGGCATATTTTGACAATCACTTCATATATAGACATATAGACATCAGAAATGGTAAATTTGTTCATTTATAACAGCTGCTGTTTCTAATACAAAAGAATAGTGTACCATCTTTTTGACCACTGATGTCATGAAGTATTGTTGGTTTTTACCCAGAAATGTTTTTGTTACTCAGACACAGTGAGATGGACAGATATGGACGTGAGAAAGAGGCAGCTCTCGCCAAGGTAAAGGAAGGGTATGCAGACAGGGAGCAGTCATTATCTGTCACTATTAGGGAATTGCAATCTAACATTGAGGACAGTCAGGTAGAAATACGCAAACTACAGTGGGCGAGACAAGACCTGGAGAAAGAAAAGGATCTACAGACTCAGAAGTATGATAACAATTGTTTCTCAAACCTGTCAAAACACACTTTACTATGAAATTCTAGTAGGCAAAATATTGAAACATCCCTAAAATTTTTGTTTGACATCATTGTTCCAAGTTAATGGAAGCATTTCAACTTTTTATGCTCCCTGAAGGGAGAGCATATAGTTACCGCTTTGTCCGTCCCTTCTGCTGTCTGTTCGTCTGTCAGTTTGTCATAACAAGGAGAAGTGCAGTGCACAAGAACCATCCCTCTCGTTTGCTTGATTTAAGAGTTATTGCCCTTTGTAATTTTTCATACTTAAATTTTGTACCATTATGGGAGCTTACCCGTCTCTGACAGTCCTTGTTTATCTAGCTAATATAACAAGAGACAAGCTAAACAGGCCATGTTTGCCTCTTCGTTTTTCTTTATGGATTCAAATTGATGCTGTGTTATGTATTGTTGAAGTCATGCAATTATCTATCTCTGTGTTTTAAATTTTACTGATACCTTGTGTGACCTTTTTGGTATTAATGGTGTAATTAATGAAGCTAATCTGGTGTTCCCAATCCCTTTCAATTTATCAATTTTCCAATAGAAAAGAGGAATTTCCTTAAGTTATCAAACGTAGCTTGGGAGCCAATCTCTGTTTATTTGTGTTTTAATCAGGAAGGCGTTACAGTACCTTTTTCGGCCATTCTTTTCAGATTACAAGATGAGTTGTGTGAGATGAAGACAAAGTGGGAGAAGCAGGTGACGAATGTATCCCGTAGTCAGGTCAATAAGGATCTCGAGCTAGAGGCACTCAAAGAAACTGAGGCTAAGATGAAGACTAACCTTCAGCAAAGGAAGGAAGACATCGAGAGGCATGTTACTTTAACATTAGTAAAGATTTTGATAAAGATGTCACAAAATCTTAGAGTAATACAGTATTTGAAGTTATCAATGATTAGAATTCTATTGTAACATACTCAAATGTATTCTGGTTTGATTTCCAAATTTATTTTTCAGTTTTTGGCCAGAAGATTTTGTGTATTTTTTTTTATTCATGAATATTTTTTTTTTATAAGAAGCTGTAATTAGTCCAATTCTGTTTTAAAAATGTCTGTTTTTCTAGATACAAGAAGGAGTTGAGTCTGGCTGCAGAGCGAGAAAATAGTTTGGAGAGAAGTAAAGCTCAGTTAGAGCTTGACTGGCAGAGACGGTTTGAGGATCTGGAAAGGCAGCAGTATGAAAAGTCAGAGGATTTTGTGAAGAAGCTTACTCGAAGCAGGGACGATGTAAGAGTTTTTAGAATGATTTCTGAATTAATTCAACTGAATTCATTGATATGTTTTTTATGAAGCTGCATAGCATAAGTATTTAGATTGATCAAGATTGTTTTAGTTATATGATTAATATAAGGACATAATATACACAGTTTAAATCCATTTATTATTGATCGTATATAGTATATGTCTGGTGACTGCAAAGGAACTGGGTATCATCCAGTCCTATAACACCCTAGTTATACGATAGCTAAATGAATTTCTGGTCATGTTGATATAATGATATTAATGATGTTTTAAACAGAATTAAACTTTGTCTCCAATATGTTATAGGCATTGGCGACAGTGAAAGAGAAAGAGCGAGAACTACAGCACAGAGAAACATTGATCAGGACACTTTACCATGACAGAGAGCAGGCCTTAGCCACACTCAGGAAACATAGCATTGCTGTTGAAAAAACCAATAATGTGAGCTCTGCACTTATACTGCCCGAGTATTGAGCTATACTTTCTTAATTTCTGATGAAGAGCATTTTTTGACAAAACTACAAATTTCTGAAGTCAATGAGACATTCAGTAGCTTTCTGAATAATAGCAATCTCTACCCAGGGTTGTAATTCCTTACTGTCACTAACAAATCTGTCAATGACTTAAAAGAAATCTGTAATATGATTAGCCTCTCCTCATACCACAATGTAAAAGACAGCAACAGCAGTTTCTTATTTTCATACTGAATCCAACATGCGCCATCATGTTGGTCTTGTTTACGTGGTGAGGATAAATACCACACTCTTTACACAGTGGTGCATACAAATATAATCCCATCACATTTTAGTGGAAAATTATTTTACAGTAACATATTTGGAAATAACGAAAATTTCAATCAATTTGTTAAGTAAATGATGTAGAAGATAAAACTAGAATGATTTTGAAGACTTTGGCATCAAGTATCTGACACTGAGTCATTGACAGTGGTGTCATTGTGAGTGTAAGGAACAACAGCTTTGGCCTGGAATTGTTATAAATGGATCATCAACCCTGTGTCATTGGAGAGAATAATAGGTCATTCATTTCACCATGAAAATTGTGCAGAAAAAAACTGCTTCAGATTGAAATCTGAAAAACCATGACAGAGGAGAATATAGATTAAACAAGAAGTATTAAGATTGTTTGATCATTTGATAAAGAACTGTCTCTGTATACAATGTTTACCTTGCCTTAGGTTGACATGGAGAAAGTATGGTTAACAGCAAATTCTGAGGATGTTGAACGTCTCCAGAAACAAAATGACAGCCTCAGGTCAGTTATCAAGGAAATGAGGATGCAGATGGAAAATCTTGGCCAGGAACTTCCTGTTTCAGACAGAGACTTGGAGTCAAAGGAATATCCTGGAAACAGAGATAAAGGTTGGTAAACTCTTGACATTGATAAGTCCTTCAATGACCCCATTTATTCTTTCAGAATAATCTACTTGATAAGTCATCCTATAATGATACATGGATTCTAGAGGTCCAAAAAGTACCATATGTTTCTTGTTGAAATAAACAACTTTTGTAGACTTTAATCATGTAAAAATTGTCCTTTTTTAAATATTATCATCAAATATTGTTAACCCTCGATACATGGTCACCACCTAGCTTTTATATGTGCCATGATCATTCTTTTATTAGACAAAAGAATTTTTTTTTTCAGATTATGTTGAAAATCTTCAGCAGGAAATTCGTTCTTTGAGAAAGAAAACAAGAGATTTGGAAAATCTTGTTGAGGAAGGAAAGCGGTATGGAAAGATACCTGTCGCAATCTCGTCTGCCACAGAGCAAGAAGTAATGACGGAAGTGAAGGACAACCCCACACTCCGACACCATATAAGTTCTCTAAATGAAACCATTGGTAAGTTAAGCCATCAAGTAAAATACCATAAATAGGTTTGTTTACCTGAAAGCTAAATCTTAATGTAGGAAAAGAAATGGACTCTTCCATAAGTCTGACATTTTAGTAGCTGATAGTTATCTTGAAAGTCCTCACAGAAAATGATGTATATAGTGCTGAGGTTTTCATCAAAACTGTAGGATCACTGTATCAAATGTATCAGTGTATTTATAATTATTATCCTATAAGTGTAAAAAGAACATCTATGGTCAAGATCCAAATCAGAATAAAGTTGTGTTTTTTCTGTTTCTGAAAATTATTAATTCATTCACTAATAATCTTGATACAATTTATCAAAACATCTTAATGATTTTTGTGAGACATACAAATGCAATATTGAGGAAGAGAGCTACAACAATAGTGTTTTATTAAGATTTTATCCCAGGTAGACATAATCCCTTAGTATCATAAGTTCCATCATATTACCAATCAAATCTACCATGTGATTTTGGTAGCATCATATTAATTCCTATACAATGGATGAATTGTAAGTTAGATGACAAAATGCTTTGATTTATATTAATGATTGTAGGTGCACTTAGGTCAGAAAAAGTAGAGCTGTCTGCCCAGGTAAAAAAGCAGCAGGCCAGAATACAACACCTGGAGAAGTCTGTGGAACAACTCTCTAAGGAGGTCAGTATTCTGTGTCATATCCCTGGAGACCATCCTAATACTGTTGTCATAATGGTAATAGGGACCATACAGATGCTTTAACATCAACTTTTAAGTATGTTCTTCTAACTACGATGTGACTTTTAGAAATGATATTTGGTCAGTACCATACCAAGCTGAATGGCTATGAAATTACTTTAAAGGTGACAATGGATAGATGAATTAATGTCGGAGAGGTCAAATATGGTACAATCCAATGTCATGACCATTGTCTGTAACATATTGTACTATTTAGTTACTTAAATCATCTGGATCAACTGAAAACCTAAATTGTGAAAAAAGATTTGAAATTTTATAGCAAAGACCTTGGTGATGATCCAAAATGACATGTTACCTTCCTTACATTTATGATTGAATACATTTTACTTCGACCTTCTTTGAAGGTCAAAATGCAAGATATTATTTATAAATGTACTGATATTCAATAAAAGTCCTCATGAACAATACAGGCTAATTAATTCTCAAGTTTAAATGCAGTGATCTGGAAGGAAATGTAAGTGTATCAATATTTTAATTTTATTTAAAGATTAAAATCGTAACTTTAAGAGTATTCATTAAGGGGATGTATTGCTACAATAGATATTGTCTATACTTTCCTTTGGAACAAAGAGACAATACTCAAATAAGTGATGACTATTATGCCACAGCCTCGCCAAAAGCAAGTAGAGGTGGATCAACTGAGGTATGATCTCAGTGCTAGAGAGAGGCGTAGCCAGGCAGAAATCGCTAGCATGAGGCAAAGGGTGTCGGACCTAGAGATGCAGCTTGCTGAAGCCAGGAAGGAGAGTGATGAGTATTACCGCAGCAACCTAGAGAGGAACATGGAGGTTACAGGACTGCGACAGGAGGTAAGTGTAGGACAAACCTGTCAGAAATAAAATAAAACAATACAGTAAGTATTGGCTATATTTTATTTGATATATGTAGGATATATATTCTGAACAAGTCCAGTCATTTGTGTGTTAATGATTTTGAACTTTTTTTTAGTCTTGTGCAAATTAAAGCCAACACTAAAAGATTGCAGTGATGTGTCTTTAAAATCTTGAAAATTAGATGTTTTGTTTAATTAATTTCCTGAACAATGTGTTTCGATCATTACAGGAAATAAAGTTAGATGTTGTATCTAAAATGTTTTGTTAGATTGATCAGACTGTTTGTTGGAGTTTGTACAGCTGTAAACTACAGTCAACCTTTGATGTTTTTAAGTTCAAGGGACTGCCAAAAAACTTTGATACATTGATACTTTGAATCATTCCTGGTGGGTTATATCGACGTTTTTATGTTCATGGATATATATAGTTGACAAGATACTTTTACCTGAACACACCAACAAATACCAAAACACCAGATTAAATGAAAAGATGCATTTTGATCTTTAAATATTTTCATTCATGAAAAAAAAAACATAACTTTAAATAGAATTCAATGTGAAATTGATAATACATGCTTATGTTTACATTCATGCCTTCTTGTCACACAGTATATGTATTTTACAGATCGACAGCTATTCTGAATCAATCTGAGATGCATGATTGATAGATAAATCACTGTGCTTCTCATGCTTTCATGCTTAAAACTGAAAAGTGATTTGTTGAGAATGAGTGAAATTATCATACAAATGATAGAATTTCCTCGGATTGTTGTCAAAATTCTTTAAATTAGACTTAACTAAATGCCATTACCCCTATAGCGGCAGTGATTATTATCTTTGATTTAATATCATGACTTGTAAGTAAGCAATTAAATTTTAATTTGTATCTGGTCATTAAAAACCTTGTAACATAGAGCCAATGGTAGCGATCTATCGTAATCCCATTGTCAGGTAGCATTCTTTGTTGAAATGTGTGAAATTTTGCCACGGGACAAAAATACCTGTACAGTAGAGGGAAATGTTTTGTTCAAATCATGAGGGGTCAATGACTGTGTTATCCTAGCTTACAGTCCGTTAAAAACACCTTAAATACATCAAAAAGTTTGATTCAGAACAGGGTAAATTAGTAGTAATATAAAGGAATGAAATTTGGGACTAGACAAAAACTTTGATTTATCGAGAAATTTGAATCATGGAAGTTCAATTCATAGAAGTTTGACTTTGTACTTTGTTGATAGATTCATCTAGGTTTTATGTTTTGTATTAGAACTTATTTTGAAATAATTTCAGATTTCTGCTCTGAAGCTAGAAATGGCTGACAAGCGACCAACAGTAAATTTTGGAGCACAGGTATACATGTTTAAAACAAAGAAAATGTTAATTCACTCCATTTGTAATGCTATGTATGTCTTGTCTTGGTCAATAAAAATCACACCTAGCATTATTGATGATGTCCCCTTTTGCATGATTTAAATTTTCCAAGTTGTGACCATAATAAATTCAAACAAAGGATGCGAAGTGAGTGCATACCAATATGAAATCCTACCTGATATGTAGATATCCTCACTAAATGCAGGGAGAATGTTTGACCTTCTATTATATATTTGCTCCAGGAGCTAATGATACAGCAGCTAGAAGATGAAATATCACGATTGAGGCAGCAAGCTCCAGAACAAGAAGGGTCTGTGGATCTTGGACCGCAAGGTCATGCTAAGGGCAGTGTGGAAGATCTAAAGCATAAACTGAAAGGAGCAGCAAAACACATAGCACAATTAGCTAAGGAGAAACAACAGCTCATTGAAATGGGTAACCGGCTTAGAGCAGACCTCAAGAAAGCAGGTAAGAGAAACCGAGGATTCACCAAGACTTGAGGTAGATCAAAGTACAATTCCTTTTGATTATCATGTGATTTGTATCAAATAATGATACACCAGATGTAAGATATTTGCTGTGCACATAACACATATGGTGTGGCAGCTGAACTCATACTTCCTTTCATCAAATTGAGAAATCATACCCTGATCATTTAGGTGATAGTGCATAACTAGTGCATAACTACTGCATCATCCAACTTTGGAAAGGCTGCTTACCTGTGATATTGATATAAAGATATGTGACAACATTTTTAATATGAATTACAGGAGTATAATTAAGTCCCCAGTAAACCTGGATTATAATACTTATTAAAACATTTGATATTTAGCTTTCACAAATTACACAATGTAAGGTAATATTCATATTCTCTTTCTGTTGTATTTAAACAGGCATTCAACCTTCTCATGGTCCTCCGAAGTCAGCTCCCTCCACTAACAGTCAAAATGTTATGTCACAAGAGATGCTTAACAGACTAAGTCAGCTGGAACGCCTACAGTATCAGCTGACGAGGCAGGTATGTTGAGTTCCCAACAATCTTTTTTCACTATCATAGGTAGGATGAAGAGTACCAATAGTTCTACTACAAAATCAGGTTACAGGGCATTTATGTTTAGTTTGTATGATAGATCTGTGTTGTCACTATAATAGGTAAGGTGTTGAGAGTACTAGTAGTTCTACTACTGTAACAATATCAATGGACAGGGCAGGTATGTTGAGTTTGTATGATAAATCTATATTGTCACTATAATGAAAATACAGTTGACCAAATAGGAATTTATAAACTGCATGTTGTCTTTCGGTCCATTAATGTTAAAAATTGAACAATTTGATTTGTATTTTACAGCAGCTGCAATATGCCCAGAAGTTTCCACCATCGAAGCCTGAGGAGAGAGATTATTTGGATTCTGAAATTGATGAGAGACCTCCTTCCATTCTTAAGAAGTCTATAGGTATTTGAAATTAGAAATTGACATTTGTTATTTTGTTTGGGACAATCTGCATAATTCATTTTTTTATTTTAATGCTTTATGCAAATTGCATAATGTGAGATGCTTCATGCAAAATTCTTAAGAAGTTTTTTTATGAATTAGGCCTTAGTAAATTGAGATTCTAAAAGCTCTACAGCTGCACCAGGATTACAGGCAACTTTGTGTATGTTTCCCAATTAGGTTTTCGTGAAACTACTTAATGGTCAAAATATTTTAAGCATTTAGCATTCAGCATTTTGTTTCTTATAAAATAATTTTTGAAAGTAAAGGGCATGCTATCAAGCTATAAAAACTACAACAAACAGCCTAATCAATCTAATAGAAAAGGTCGTTTGAATCTTGGCAGTTGTACGAGGTGTGAAACAGAGCAAGACCTGTTTGGAAGGGGGTTAAAACAAATGCACTACCCTGTTTCCGTCGAAGGTCTTTGCCTTTAAACATGTAGAGGGTGATCTATTTACATGAAGTGGACTGTGTTCGTCTTGCCTCATCCAATGTTGAAGGAGTTAGGTCTCTGACAACACCGGTACGATCCCCAGTGCCATGAGTTCTGTCCCCTTGGTCTTAGAGTGGGATTCATGACCTTTTGGGGGTATTATGCAATATACCTGGTGTCATTGTACTGCAATTGGCCCACAGGACAATGAGTTATGATTGATAATGGATTGATCAATGGTGAGGTTAAAAGCCCCCAAAAGAAAATAAGAGGAGAGTGTGAGACTGCCACCACCTGTTATGTCTACTGATTTTGAGATATAGATGTTACAATATTATTTACAACAGGTTAACATGGTAAGGTCAACTATTGACATGCTGTCACTCTCCTGTGGAATATCATAGGTTCATCTCACAGCTGATAATGTTTGAATAGTAGTGCCTCCATTGCAAAGAAAGTTAAAGAATTCAAGAAACATGACATTGCTACATACATTGCGATAGAAATAGAGTCTCTGCAGTTTAAGTGTATATATGATAGCATCATGATCATGACTGCTACTGGGCAAAGTAACAACAAAGTACAACAGGTTAACATGGTAAGGTCAACTATTGACATGCTGTCACTCTCCTGTGGAATATCATAGGTTCATCTCACAGCTGATAATGTTTGAATAGTAGTGCCTCCATTGCAAAGAAAGTTAAAGAATTCAAGAAACATGACATTGCTACATACATTGCGATAGAAATAGAGTCTCTGCAGTTTAAGTGTATATATGATAGCATCATGATCATGACTGCTACTGGGCAAAGTAACCTGTTTGTTCAGAACAGTTGAATATCTACTCTGTGGTGAAAGGGGTCTGTTTTTGATGTCTTTAAGTTGAGTGACATGCTTTGACAATTTTTTGAAATTGTTGCATTGCTGATGCACATATTGATGGCAGGATTGTAGTGGTTGGTACTGCAAGTTAACTTGCCACATGAAAAGAATCTGAAGAATGCAACACTGCATGCAGCCTCCATGTTAAAGTCCTTCTCCAGGTTGAAGACGCCATGCTGAAAGGCTGTACACAGCTTGTGGAAGACGTGATAGGTTATTAGCGTCTTCAGTTTTGTTGGAGTGCTTTGTGTTTTGTTGATGTAAGATGGTCTGAAGACAATAGATAGGCAGAACTTTTGGGCCTAACAGTGGATTAGATTGGCCAGTTTTTGTGCATTGATGTTTGATTCCATACAAGTATAGATTGAAGGTATAGTATTTTAGGTGTAGACTTGTGTAGCAGTGGGTCACAAAATAAATCAGGATGTTGTCAGAAACAGAGTTGAATACTGAAGTAGGGTGGCAGAGGTCATAAATGTTCATGAAGTGATGAGAACATGCTGTTTCACAGTTGTATGATGTTCAAGTGTATTTGGCTATAGAAGCCTCCCGTAACTCTTGTATGATTGGGTCTAGTTCAGAGGCACTCCTGGTAGATGGACTGCACATATAGAAAATTGTTGTGTGAAAGCACTCCAGGTGAGTTTGCTTAAGATGGCCATGATATTTGCACACTTAAAGAGATCCTTAGTGGTTATAATTTTAGCATGTTGTCACAGTGAAGTATGATAGCTGCTATGACTAAAGGATACCATTCCATGTAAACTATGGACATGTCAGAATAGTCAAGAGATGGCCTTGAATCTGTAGGCTGGTGAAGTAGCCTGCGAAGCCAATGCTACCCACTGCATCTGTGATTAGGTGGGAAGCTAAGGCGACATTATCATAAACAGAGTGTCTGTTCCACTGTCCTTTCTACAGTCTGACAGTCCTGAAGGCTCATAAATACCAAGTTTGGTGATTTTGGTCATGAGTCCAGCATTTGTCCAGTTCTCCAGCCTGGATGTGTTCTTACTTGGCATTATTATATCAGCAACATTTGCGAAGCTTCCATTGGAGTCAACCACCTTACGTTTTTGTCCTCTGGTCGAAATATTATGTAGAGAGAGAAATCTTGAGTAGACACCTCAGAGAAGTCTGAGACAACGAGCTTACTTTGTCTATGTTGAAGCTGATGAGGATAATTTCCAGATAGTTGGCAGTGAAGCAATTGGTCAGTTGTAGACTGTGTATGAAATAAGTAGGGGTCAGACATTCTTTGTATGGTGAGGGCATTTGAGGTCAAATGACTAGAAATAAGGTGCAGTAAACTGCATATTAACCAGGGCACATTGTGCTGACAAATGTTTACGTGATGATGTAATTTGTTTACATGGATAGCTTGATATCTGTCATAAAGTACAGTCAAATCATAGGCTTTGTATTTTGATTAGACTCTACTGGCTCCAGATTGTCTGAAATTAAATTTTAAAATGGAAATAACTTGACAGCCTTGGTCAATTCGGGTTATCCATCAAATTTGTCAGTCATGTAGGCCTTGGGAATAAATAGGAGCTAGGCAGACCACCCTACACTTCTGTCACTGAACACGCATAGAACGCACTAGACCATTGTCACTCATTAGGTCTAGAGACACTTAGACACTTAGTAAACAAAACGACTATATGATCACCACAAGGACATTTAGGAAGGCCAGGACAAGAGAGAGAGAGGAACTTTTGTGGTGTATACCTTTTCAACAAATAAGAATTCAACCGCGAGAAATCAAGGACTTTCTTCTTATGTTTTCACCACCACACAGTAATGTGTGGCTCCATGGAATAGAGGGTTACAGTTCCTTGCCAAATTTATATTATTGGTGAAGAATTAAAATGAGACTCATCTTGATAAGGCAACTCCCTCTTAGTAATGGAAGTGTCTGCAAGGTAGTTGCAGTAGAGAGAGATGGTGCGATCTAGGTTAGCATGTGGTACCTTGGCTAAATATTTCTATATAAAGCTTCAATGTATTCATGTGATTAAATTTTACTTTATTTTTTTTGTGGCTTTGACTTGTTTCACTTGAACCTCCAGATTTTGCTGAGACTGATGATATCATAGATGTACGTGCTAGTTATGATACAACAGACTCACGGCGGTCAGGCCTGACAGACTCCTCCAGGGCACCGTCCTATCAAGGAAATTCTTCTCAGACTCGGGAACAGTTCCTGATGAGCATGTCATCTGTTGGTGGAGAGTCTCTCCAGGAAATCTGGAAGATGATGGAGGAGAGACCAAGTCCAAGTCCATTTACACCACATTATCTTGACAAACATGGTAAGTTTAAAGCGAGATTTAACACTGGAGATTATTGAAAGATAAGCATTGTTTTCTCTATTATCCAAAGTCTTTCTGACACAATATCAATTTTGACAGGTTATCCTATGTCATTCAAGTCAATCTGTTGTCCCTCGTCGTCACTCTCTCAATCTTGGGTCGGTCTCTGGTAGTATTTATATTTTTTCTACAGGTTGAGCTGTCCTCTTCTGTCATACCAGGAATATGTTATGATTTTCACCTTGTCTCCTTGTGTTCATTACAGGTGAATACCCGACCAACAATACTGACCAAGGCCTGGATAATTCAGGAGAACTAATTCTCAAAGGGAGAAAACCAAGTATGGAAATGCGAAGTAAATCTGACTCAAAGTTATCTCAAAAAGTTGCTGGAAAGAAAGGGGCTGTGAAAAATGTGCGAAAACCAAAAATCCGTAACTATAATGAAAAAGGAGTCCAGTGATTATAAATGCTGTTATTGGGACACAGTTCAGACACACTTGCAGTTATGACAGGTTAATACTGCTAGTCCTTATCTAACTAATTGAATTTCAATTATACTGGGACTGATACCACAACAGACCACAAAAATGATACACAGTGGCATGATAGAATGCCTACTCATACATAGCAGTAGAAAAATATCATTTGGCATGTAACAGTGCAGACCTTTTATGTAGGGATATCTGTGATATTGACACATGTCTTACTCCATTGCAACAGTCCAGATCAGTATGAAGGGATGTCTAAAATGTCCTGTTCTGTTATAACAGTATAGACCTTTATAAAAGGACATCAGTGTGATGTAGACACATGTCCTAATCCTATGTAACTAAAGATGTTAACATGTATCTTACTCCTATGATACTATATAGATCTGTGTGGAGGAATGTCTGTGATGTAGACATGGGTCACACTCCTATGTAACTATATGGATCTGTGTGAAGGAATGTCTGTGATGTAGACACGGGTTACACTCCTATGCTACTATATAGATCTGTGTGAAGGAATGTCTGTGATGTAAACACGGGTCACACTCCTATGTAACTATATGGATCTGTGTGAAGGAATGTCTGTGATGTAGACACGGGTCACACTCCTATGTAACTATATAGATCTGTGTGAAGGAATGTCTGTGTGATGTAGACACGGGTCACACTCCTATGTTACTATATAGATCTGTGTGAAGGAATGTCTGTGTGATGTAGACACAGGTCACACTCCTATGTAACTATATGGATCTGTGTGAAAGAATGTCTGTGATGTAGACACGGGTCACACTCCTATGTAACTATATAGATCTGTGTGAAGGAATGTCTGTGTGATGTAGACACGGGTCACACTCCTATGTTACCATATAGATCTGTGTGAAGGAATGTCTGTGTGATGTAGACACGGGTCACACTCCTATGTTACCATATAGATCTGTGTGAAGGAATGTCTGTGTGATGTAGACACAGGTCACACTCCTATGTAACTATATAGATCTGTGTGGAGGAATGTCTGTGATGTAGACATCGGTCACACTCCTATGTGACAGTACATACTTCTATGGAAGGACATGTGTGAAGAAGACATAGGTCACACTCCTATGTAACAGTACAGACCTGTATGTAAGGATGTCTGTGATGTAGACATGGGTCACACTACTATATAACAGTACAGACTTGTATGTAAGGATGTCTGTGATGTAGACACATGTCCTTATCCTATGTAACAGTACATACTTCTGTGGAAGGACATGTGTGAAGAAGACATAGGTCACACTACTATGCAACAGTACAGACCTGTATATAATGATGTCTGTGTGATGTAGACACATGTCCTTATCCTGTGTAACAGTACAGACCTGTATGTAAGGATGTCTGTGTGATGTAGACACATGTCCTTATCCTATGCAACAGTACAGACCTGTATATAAGGATGTCTGTGTGATGTAGACACATGTCCTTATCCTGTGTAACAGTACAGACATGTATGTAAGGATGTCTGTGTGATGTAGACACATGTCCTTATCCTGTGTAACAGTACAGACCTGTATGTAAGGATGTCTGTGTGATGTAGCAATGCAGTACTGAATGTAGAGATTTGTTTGATTTTATCACTGATGACATTTCTTACATGGTATCCAAGGAAATCCTATAATGTTGTTAGTTTTATTTATACATATATTTTTTTACAATAAAACAAATGTACTAGACTGAATTCTAAGTGTGTGTTTTGTTTGTTTTTTTTAATGTGAATGGGAGGGCTGCATGAACTTTTCTGACAGTTCTAATCCTAGGAACGCCAAAATGTCCTTGTTGGGTGAATTTAAATCTCTTAACAATTCTCAATATCTTTGGTCAGTGGCAGGCTGTGATTTACTGTACTTTGATCTGTTGGCCATGGTCATGAGATTTGGCCAATCGATCAAATGACAGAATCAAAGAGATTCTAAGGAATGACTGAGATCAATATTCAAATTAAAAATACTCAAGTATGCTTATTTATTACGAAATAAATTGAGTTTTTTATATAAGGTTTTCTTAAAATGTAGCAAAATAAATAGAACTTACAAAATTTTATTTTGAATTTTCAAAGAAGCTAACCTTAATCACTTAGGATTTGACAGAAGTTATATGGGGATTTGACAGCAGTTAGATGAGGATTTGACAGCAGTTAGATGAGGATTTGACAGGTATTATTAGCTGTTGCAACGAAGTAAATGATAGTTGCCATTCTCAGTTTGTTAATAAGCCCTCAAGGGGAAATATAAAAAAACAGTCAGAACACATTGTTACAGGCATTGTCATTACAACATAACCAAAATAATGCTGTTGTCTAAGTCCTTTCTATCTTTGGAGTTGTAAAATCTTGTAGGTTTTTGAACATTCTATTTATATAAACAGGAATAATCCTAGAGGAAGCCAAGCCTCTCCTTTTCATTTTTCTTTTGATTTGATTTTACATAAAATAGAAACACCTTATTTTTCACATTGACTAAAAATTGCTAAAAATAGCCTGTTGCTGTCTGTTCTTGGGGTGTTTTTGGTATATGTCAAAACTGAATTGGAAATATTTGAAGCATTATGCTTATATGATACATGTTTAATGCAGAATGTATAGTTTAAAGGTATACAAGCATCTGTTCTAAATACTGAAGTTGGAAATATTATCATATAAAATGCTGTATTTATCAAGTTTGCATCTTTTGAAAAGGTTCACAACCATATTTGGACAGTAACTTTGTGGGTTTAAAATTGATAATGATGGAATCTAAATGAAGGTTGTATTTGATACAGGCCGACTTCAATGCTTCCTCCAAATTTTGCCTCAATGAATGGTCAAATAAAGACAATAAACCTCTTAATTGAAAAAGACAAGGAGACACAGCCATCAGATAAACACAAATGCATAATCTTGGTTCTTGAATCCTACATGCAGGAGGACAGTCTGTGATATCCCTGTCTGTAGAGTGTTAGAATTTGTAAACTTCAGGTAAAGATCCAAGGTGTGTAGTTCAAGCCCTGTTTGACATGATTTGTGTTTCTTGAGAAGCTGGGGAATCAGAAGACTGTCCCAGGCTGTAGTGGTCTTTGGAATAGATACTTTATCCCCATTGATTTTGGGGCGACATGCAACAGGCCATCTGATGAGACACTGCCTCAAAATGACCCAGACTGACAGGTTAAAAAACAGCAAACAAAGGCATCAAGAGACGAACACATCAAATTCTGATTCTAAATACAAAGGTACATTTGCTGTAAAAGACTAAAGTACTCAGTGTTGAAACATTTATGATATAACATATTACACAACTGGAACAGAATTTTGAAAGATTTATTCCAATATACCAAGCACAGTTATAACAGTATTTAATGTGTAAATCATGATAATAATTATAACTGAAATCTCAAAAGAACTTCTCTGACATTGCCTTTCCACAATATACAAAGTGTTTCATATGATGTACAAAACAGAAAGTATTAAGGAGGAAAAGGTAAGATATTAAATTATGGATATATTCTTTATTGTATAATTAAATACAAACCAACGAAATTGTGTTGACAACTGTGGTAAAAACTAATGTAGCCTGGATCAATAAACTTGTTTCATAATTGTAGTAAAATATATAGATTGATGAAGACCATGATAACTTAACATGAGAGAAGTATATGTAACTAATTTTATAACATAGGATTAATTCTATGTATTTGTAATTTTTTCCTGGAATTGTGGAAGACAATCGTCTTAGTTTTCAACAAACGTCTTCTGAGACAAGTAATATCACTAAGTAAATGCTTGTGAGTTAAAGAAATAAAGTTACAGTTACACACCATGTTAAAATGGAGTATATACTGGTACTAAACACTCTTTAAAAGAAACATGTTGCACTACAGACCTATATAGATTATATACATGTAATGTATAAGGCAGTGTATATCCTGATGAAAATGTCAAAACACACAAGTTCAACATTGAGAAACCAACTGAACCAGAAGATAGATATGATACAATGTACCAGTAGTGAACATGTTAGAATTCTGAGTTCATAAAACCCATGGCACAAGGAATATCACTTTGTTCCTTATAAGCATGGGTGTACTAAATCTGTTAATAATAAACTGGTTGTACTAGCTATTAGCTGCATCAAGACTTTATAAGTTTCAGTGTTGTACTTTTATATTCAGGTAATTTGTGTCTGTACATAGGTGCAGAAAATGTAGGGGAGAAATAAAGATATAGATGTACAAAGAGATGGACTTGAAGAGAAGATGAAATTGTGCTGATAAAAGAGTAAAGAAATAGAATAACTGTTGATATATACATGTCAAGATAAATACACAATTGATAGTAGCACTGACTGGATATAAAACCACTTTACAAACCCCTTGATTTTGAAAACAATGTCACATCCATCTTGACATTTGTAGATATCCCACTTAAATGGTTTAACATCTTGTCTGTTCTCCTGTAATTAACAAACAGATAATACCCAATTCTTCAGTCAGACTTCACTATTGTACTCTAGCTGAGTAACAACACTGGTTAACTATAGCCACGAGATTACACTGCGCCATAATGTCCCAGTCCAATGTCCTTCAGTCAATTGACAGGTATAGTTAAAATCCTGGAGAATTCAAGAGCTTCTCATTTCCTGTCTGAGTGCTTCCCAGCCTTTTCCGATAGCAGCATGGTAGTTATCAACCTGTTTAACACAAATGGAGTCGTTATCAAACTAAACACAGATTCACGTCAAGTTAGAACAAATTTCAAGACAGGTAAATGATCAAAAGTTCAGAACTGAGGTTATCTGCTGTGAGAAACTGGTCTTCCTACTGTCAACATTGTTTTAAACAAATGCATTCAGTTTAAACTACCAAAATCCTATTTACTAAAACAGAAATTCTATTATTACAGCTTATATAGATTACATAAATATATGCAATAACAATTTAATGTTATTTTTACTTAGTCATTACTTATTATTTTGGGTTATCTGGTGCAACAGTAAATACTAATTATCAAAATGTATATACACTCACAGTATGCATCATTTCTTGATAAGCAGTTTGGGCCAAGTTGATTTTTTCCTCCAAAATCTGTTTCTCCTTCCTCAATTCCTGTTGTAACCTTTGTTTGTCTTGTACTACAGAATTCTTCTTCTTCTCATCATCACTGTTTTTCCTTTCATAGAATTCTTTTTCTCTGTTTAAGAAATAATGACAAAGAAATGATATTTTGACAGAAATTTAGAAAAGTCTCACTCTTTGAACGTCACAATTAAGCACACAATGTCATTTATTTTATCACTCTAACACAAAACAAATTTTGCCTATTAAATTAAGTGAATTCTTCTGATTACTGTACGTCCAGGAATTCTTTAAGTCAGAAACTTCACCATTCACATGTACAACACAAGACAAGACTATGATGATCAACTTTTTACCGAGTATACGTACTCCTTTAGTTGCTGTGTGCTTTCCTGTGTTGCCCTCATTTTCTGCTGATGCTGCAGGTTTAACTTGGACATTTTTTCCTGTCGACTTGACACTAGATGGTTGAGTTGGTCTATCTTGGATGAGAAGTCACTCATATGATTTTTCTGCTCCTGTATCTTGTCACTGATGTTTTGAATTTCTTTACAGATCTCACTAGAATAGAAACATTTTAAAGTGTTGTTATTACCAGTACTTGTGATATAATGGCTGTAGTACAATATTCTTTATCCAGATTTATCACCATTTACATCTGGTTCATTCTTAGTTGTAATTTTTGCTCTAAACAATACAATTTCATGGTAAATTCAGAATGAAAATAGTAAATTGTACATGCATTTGAACACTTAAGAATTTTGTTCCTTATTAAAGTGCTTTATGATACTATCCAAGTTGCGACATCCACCTGGACATTTCAACTAATAAACTATCTATTGACTATCCATAGTAACAAGCTTTATCACAAGCCATACTGACTACCTCCATCTATAGGCAATATCTACCTTTAGACTATCTCTAGCAACAGGCTTTATCACAACCTCCACCTACCGACTTTATCACCAGCTATATAGGCTATCTCCATTTATAGGCTATTTACATCTCTATGGACTTCCACCTAGCTAAGACTTTATCACCAACTATATAGGCTATCTCCATTTATAGGCTATTTACATCTCTATGGACTTCCACCTAGCTAAGACTTTATCACCAGCTATATAGGCTATCTCCATTTATAGGCTATTTACATCTCTATGGACTTCCACCTAGCTAAGACTTTATCACCAGCTATATAGGCTATCTCCATTTATAGGCTATTTACATCTCTATGGACTTCCACCTAGCTAAGACTTTATCACCAGCTATATAGGCTATCTCCATTTATAGGCTATTTACATCTCTATGGACTTCCACCTAGCTAAGACTTTATCACCAGCTATGTAGGCTGTCTCCTTTTTTCAGTCTACCTCCAGTCTGCCTTAAGGCTATATCCATTTATGAATTATCCCTTGCTATAGGCTAACTTTCCATCTATAGGTAATCGAAACCACCTGAATTACTATAACTCTACCAACTTTCAAATGTGACAACATCTACATCAACATGCTTCCTGTCAATATCCAAGCATACATTTCACTTCATCAGTATCATTTTATTGACCCTCATCCATTTTTATCTATAAATACTTACTTTTCCTTGTCAATGTCCACCTGTACATCCTGTAACATCTTGAAGGCCTTCCCAACATTGTTATCCGACACTTGTACACCCTCCACCTGTTGCTGTAGCTCCATGAGGCGCCCCACCTTGCGCTCCAGTGTGACTTTAAGAACAGCGAGCCCCTCACGAGCTTTGTCTTCCTCTGCCATCACACGTTCTGGTGACTGGATAATCTTTTTGGATACAACTTCTCCATCTTCTTTTGCTTTAGCTGCCATCATACGCACTTGATCCTGAAAATATAAGTATTCCACAATGGAATAATACAGAAGATGTATTTTCTGTGTGAATCTATTATTGTAGTTGTGGTTTCAATTTAAAACTATTCCAAGGTTAGAAGATTCATTTGCTTGTGCAAATATCCTAAATATTGGTTTTTCAACGACCAAATGCGTTCAATAATTATAACCTGGAAACGGATCCATACCAGCACTTAATACTGCCAATGGCAGTCTGCCAAATCTAAAATGTGTAAAATGGAAAAGGCACAGCTACCTTGTATATGTACCATGACAGACATGATGTTTATAAACAGTTACAATGAAATTTAATTACTTTACAATAACTGATATAGACTGAACTCATGTATAATTAAAATCTATTGATACAGGGTATATATCTTGAACTAATCAAATCAATGATATTGAGGTATACAATAGTTACTTCATCACATATTGTATTTTATGCTGCAATCCATACTGCCATTGTCAGAATACACTTGCCACATATAGTTGTACTGTATTATAGCATCTGTGTGGATTCAACATATTTTTATTTTGAATTTACTTTAAAATTATGTTTAACAATTTGAATGACTGTTACAATGTGTGATTTTACATGTTGTAATGAAGAAGTTTATTTCTGAAAATTCATAAAATTACTGTTATATCCCGTGAAATTTAGAACTGTATTTCTGAGCAAAACAATTATTAGGACAATTAGTAAATTCAGCATAACATCAATGTCGGGTAAACAAGGATTGAACAACAAAACTGTTCAAGTTTTAATGGTCTGATTTTCAGTCAGTGTTGCTAGATAAATACAATACATGGTCAGTGTCTTAAAATGTAAGCTGAATTTTGGCCCGGTAAAGAAAAAAATAGTGGCATGCTACTTTTGTCTTTCTTTACCATCGTGAAAATACAGCTTATATTTTAAGACACTGACCATGTATTATTTATATAACACAATGCTACCCTGAATGTACTGTTATCACTATCAAAAATTCAGTTTAGTGATATTTTAGTGACCATTATTTTTACCCCTTTTTTAATACATTTTAGCGTGATTCAGCTTAGCCCACAACAATTTTTGCAGTAATTCAAGTGAACACTGACCAGCTGTGCTTTCTTCTCAGCAATCGTGATCCTGAGCTCATTAATTCGTTGTTGCTGCTGAGCTTTGATCTTCATTTTGGCCTGAAGATCATTCTGCAGTTGTTCATATTCTTCTTGAATCTGGCAAAATAAAACAGAAAATTTTACAAGTCAATATACACTCTCCACACTGTCATATACCAATTCAAACAGAGATTTTTTTTATGATACACGTGCATATTACAGTGCTCTTAATACAACCTGCTGTCAGTAAAGCACACAATTCTCTTCAGCAGCCTTGAACAGGTGAATGTTTCATTTGCTATATTTTCAACTATACTATTTCTGTCATCTATTATCTGTATATTATTTAGATAATTTAATCTCAGTTGAGGGCTTACATTCTTTAACAAAATCTCAATTGAGACAGAGCCGAGAATGAGATGTTACATAATGTCATCCTGGGACAGAGATTAATCAATTTCGAACAAACATGGGTAACAGAGTCTTCTTCTGTACGTATCAAAACAGCATAAACAATTCTCCTCTAGTTTCATTTCCAAATTCTTTGATATAATTTTATTACTTCCCCTTGCAGTTATGCATCAGAAAGAAAACGGTGTCCTTTATGTCACTTAGCACCAATATCATGTAAAGGTACCATACAACTTGGACCAGACAAAAAGCTTGTCCTGCGTGAAGCATGAAATTGACATTGTTAAGGACCAAAAAGTCAACTTATCAAACATGTCCAAGCATTCAAAGTAATTTATCATCACTATCTCACAAAGTTCCTAGTTAAACTGTAAGTAATTACTGACTAAGTATGAGTACTGAACTTTCATAGAAATAAAGCCTTAACTATGATGAAATTTTTGGAAAATTTGATTGTCATCATGAATTAGCCATTATTAAGCTTTTTCTTAAATTTTTTCTTTCAATTGATCTGTCATAATATTCATTGGGGCAACAGTGGGGTTGTAGGGATGGCGAAAAATTCATTGGGGTATCAGCGGGGTTATAGGGGTGGTGAACATTCATTGGGGTATCAGTAGGGTTATAGGGGTGGTGAATATTCATTGAGATAACAGTGGAGTTGTAGGGGTGTTGAACATTCTTTGAGAATCAGTGGAGTTAAAGGGATGGTGAACATTCATTGGGATATCAGTGGAGTTGTAGGGGTGATAAACATTCATTGGGGTATCAGTGAGGTTGTAGAGGTGGCGAACATTCATTGGGGTATCAGTGGGATTATAGGGATGGTGAACATTCATTGGGGTATCAGTGGGGTTATAGGGGTGGTGAACATTCATTGGGGTATCAGTGGAGTTATAGGGATGGTGAACATTCATTGGGATATCAGTAGAGTTATAGGGATGGTGAACATTCATTGGGATATCAGTGGGATTATAGGGATGGTGAACATTCACTGGGGTATCAGTGGGGTTATATGGGTGGTGAACATTCATTAGGGTATCAGTGGAGTCATAGTGATGGTGAACATTCATTGGGATATCAGTGGAGTTGTAGGGATGGTGAACATTCATTGGGATATCAGTGGAGTTGTAGGGGTAATAAACATTCATTAGGGTATCAGTGAAGTTGTAGGGGTGATGAACATTCATTAGGGTATCGGTGGAGTTATAGGGATGGTGAACATTCATTGGGATATCAGTGGAGTTGTAGGGGTGATAAACATTCATTGGGGTATCAGTGAGGTTGTAGAGGTGGCGAACATTCATTGGGGTATCAGTGGGATTATAGGGATGGTGAAAATTCATTGGGGTATCAGTGGGATTATAGGGATGGTGAACATTCATTGGGGTATCAGTGGGATTATAGGGATGGTGAAAATTCATTGGGGTATCAGTGGGGTTATAGGGGTGGTGAACATTCATTGGGGTATCAGTGGAGTTATAGGGATGGTGAACATTCATTGGGATATCAGTGGAGTTATAGGGATGGTGAACATTCATTGGGATATCAGTGGGATTATAGGGATGGTGAACATTCACTGGGGTATCAGTGGGGTTATATGGGTGGTGAACATTCATTAGGGTATCAGTGGAGTCATAGTGATGGTGAACATTCATTGGGATATCAGTGGAGTTGTAGGGATGGTGAACATTCATTGGGGTATCAGTGGGATTATAGGGATGATGAACATTCATTGGGGTATCAGTGGAGTTATAGGGATGGTGAACATTCATTGGGATATCAGTGGCGTTCTAGGGGTGATAAACATTCATTGGGGTATCAGTGAGGTTGTAGAGGTGGCGAACATTCATTGGGGTATCAGTGGGATTATAGGGATGGTGAACATTCATTGGGGTATCAGTGGGATTATAGGGATGGTGAACATTCACTGGGGTATCAGTGGGGTTATAGGGGTGGTGAACATTCATTAGGGTATCAGTGGAGTCATAGTGATGGTGAACATTCATTGGGATATCAGTGGAGTTGTAGGGATGGTGAACATTCATTGGGATATCAGTGGAGTTGTAGAGGTGATGAACATTTATTAGGGTATCAGTGGAGTTATAGGGGTGGTGAATATTCACTGGGATATCAGTGGAGTTATAGGAATGGTGAACATTCATTGGGATATCAGTGGAGTTGTAGAGGTGATGAACATTCATTAGGGTATCGGTGGAGTTATAGGGGTGGTGAATATTCACTGGGATATCAGTGGAGTTATAGGGATGGTGAACATTCATTGGGATATCAGTGGAGTTGTAGAGGTGATGAACATTCATTAGGGTATCAGTGGAGTTATAGGGGTGGTGAATATTCATTGGGGTATCAGTGGAGTTATAGGGGTGGTGAATATTCATTGGGATATCAGTGAAGTTGTAGGGGTGGTGAACATTCATTGGGGTATCAATTACCACTGATTACTAATTCATCAGAATATTATCATATTTTTCATGGAAATTATTATATTTTCACCTTATACAGATTTAACATGAAAAAGGCATAGATTGACTCACATAAATATTGACAGATATTCAAACCACCACCTTGTATCACACACAGATGACAAATGCATAAAAACTCACACATCGTATAGCAGGCTCTTGTTTGGCTTTTTCTGCCTTGATTGAATTAATCTTTCTCTTTAGACCCTCATTGGTTTGTAAGAGACCTTCATGTTGTTCCCGGAACTTCTCCTAGATAAGCAGAAATACACACTCAATACTGTTTTGTTTATGGAAAACTATCTGATATTGGAAATGGCACGAGCTTCTGTACATGATGCCTGCAAACTTAAAAGAGTGTCATGTGATTCTGATAACAAAGGGTGATATATTTATTTTTATTACATTAAACATAACTCAAAGTTATCCTTAAATGATTTAACCCTCTATGAATCAAAAATTTTCAATGACTAATTTTTTTAATGTTATCACCCAATAACATAATAAATTGAGGTCACTTTGTAACACTATGTTTAATTACCCAATGCAGCAGTGCAAGAAATTATCAAAAAAAATAATAATAAGTCGATCACAATGTAAAAAATATTGCAATCTGTGATTATATCATAAGGATCATCTTTAATTATTTTCAACTTTATTGATGAATGACAAAAAAGAGAATGTACTCTTAGCATAAAGAAGTTACCTCAGTGTAATATTAGGTTATTTCAAAATTGATTATTAGATTCTTGTTCATTTTTGTTGTTTGACTGGAATACAATCAAGAATAAAGAAAATCATGTGACTACTTGCTACCAATGTAATGCAGTACTCAGGGTAATCAAGATTTCATTGTATCTGATACATATACAAAAAGGCATATGGTCCATGATCTTACATTTTTTTCTTTCAAATTCAGAAAAACTTCCATCTGTTTATTTCTGAACAGCATGAAATTAATGACAGCACTGCAAATTTTGGTGACTCTTCCAGGTGCTGAAAGATAGAAAAATGATCAGTCACACCTAAAGCCTCACAAAAATATTAGAGGTATGTTACATTTTTGTGATAATCACATCAATATATAAAACATCAATATCTTATTGTTTAAAGATCATTATAATGGGGCATCAAACTTACCTGGCCCCAGTTGCTCAAAGGCAAAATTAACACTCAAAGTAGATCAATCAGACCTGTCTCAACAAATCTACAGCTGTGAAGTCGTAAAAAATAGTCCCAGTTTTGTTTTATTCATATTTGAAAATCTTAGCAATTCATTTGTTATACTGGGACACCATACTTACCTAATTATATACAGTTATACAAGAACATTGCATTTATTTGGTTTCTGTAGGGGACAGAAGATGGTTATACTGGGACATATCTACCTGGTTTCTGTAGGAGACACAGACTAGTTATACTAGGACATCACACCTGGTTTCTGTAGGGGGACAAAGGACAGTTATACAGGGTATCACATTTACTTGGTTTCTGTAGAGGACGGAAGATGGTTATACTGGGACATATTCACCTGGTTTCTGTAGGAGACACAGACTGGTTATACTAGGATATCACACCTGGTTTCTGCAGGGGGACAAAGGACAGTTATACAGGGGCATCGCATTTATTTGGTTTCTGTAGAGGACGGAAGTTGTTATACTGGGACATATTTACCTGGTTTCTGTAGGAGACACAGACTGGTTATAATAGGATATCACACCTGGTTTCTGTAGGGGGACAGAGGACAGTTATACAGGGGCATCACATTTACTTGGTTTCTGTAGAGGACAGAAGATGGTTATACAGGGGCATCACATTTACTTGGTTTCTGTAGGGGACAGACTGGGACATATTTACCTTGTTTCTGTAGGAGACACAGACTGGTTATACTAGAACATCACACCTGGTTTCTGTAGTGGGTCAGAGGACAGTTATACAGGGGCATCACATTTACTAGGTTTCTGTAGAGGACAGAAGATGGTTATACTAGGATATCACACCTGGTTTCTGTAGGGGGACATGGGACAGTTATACAGGGGGATCACATTTACTTGGTTTCTGTAGGGGACAGAAGATGGTTATACTGGGACAACATATTTACCTGATATCTGTTGTAAGGAAACAGAGATCCACTTTACTAGGATGTCAGTATACTTACTTGGTGCCTGTAGGTCCTTGACACTGAAGTCCATGATACCACAGGTAACAAGGAAACGTTGCCTGTCAATACAGATATAAGTTCAGTTCAGGTAGAGCCTTATATTCAGAATGCCATGAGTGCATAATAATCATATTTGTGCATAAATCAACTTTTCATTGAACAGCAGCTACATAATAAACTGAATGCCTACACATATATACAGAGAGAGGAAAAAGCTTCTTAAGAAGTGTAAGGAAATCAGAGGAAATTTAAGGAATATTGAATAATCAGTCCCATAAGTGATGATCAATAATCAAAAAGTTTGAAAGTAGTCAATTGCAAATATTATGGTCTTAAATGGTTATCTCCCTTTAATACACACAGTGAACATGAAAAAGAGAGAATATCCTAATTTGTGACAATGATAACACACTGACACTTATTTGAAATAGATACCAGTAATTTCTGTTTTTTTGGTTTGTTTTTTCAAAGCGAGTCATGACCACCAATTCCAAAATTTTGATGACTCTCAATAATAAGATATATAGCAGAAGTCCCTCACGCAAAAAATGAGTCCAGGACACAAATATCTCAGTCACAAAAATCACTGAATATATAATATGCACCAGTGAATAGTAAGAAGATCTATAGATAATGGATCACTCTAAAGAAAATGTACAGTACATACAATTCTGATGAACAAGAGGCCAATGGGCCTTAATGGTCATCTGACTACAAACACTTTCAGCAGGGAGAAGGTCATTTTTTCTACTTTGAATGAAATCTTACTAAGAAGCTATTTTCCATGATGCAGATGGTAGTTTTGGCGAGGAGTAGGTAACTGTTAAAAATTGTTACCTATTTTTTGACAGTAAAGTTGGAGCTCAATCCAACTGGTGAAACTTGAAAAGAAGTTTGAAATATGTCCTGCACAGGAAAACCTTGACTGCACAATCATGTTACAAAATGGCCTCCCTGACTGCTTTATCAAAGTTTTAACAAGGTTAAAAAAAGACTTTGTTGGCTACTTTGCCTTAAAATTCCCACCATTAGCTCAATGGCACCACTGGAACAGGAGAAGAAGTTTAATAAAATATGCTTTTGCAAGATAGCAGCCATCTTGCATTTCAAACATACCCAAAAAGTAACAACACTTGGTCAGGAATAAGTATTGTACAGGAAAACCATGATTGCACAGTCATGTTACGAAATGGTCTCTCTGGCCACCATATTGAAGTTTTGACAAGGTCCAAAAATAACAACATTTGGTCAGGACCACCTCAGGATCATAACATGCAAGTTGGAGCTCAATCCCACTGGTGGAACTTGGGAAGAAGTTTAAAATGTCAAAATTTCTGAATGGCGGACGACAACAGATGCAGCATGAGGGCTATTAGTTATGATTTAAGCCTTCCTGCTCAAAAAATAAATTATCATAAGAACATCGTTATTAATAATAAATCAATACATAAACTACATCAGAAAAGTGCAACTTCAATCTTTAAAGACCTATATGTATACAAACTAATGACATAATGGACATACAAAGCCAGAGTAACAATCATCAGAGGCATGGTATCTTCATACAGTTCTGGGTGCTCAAAGTACTGTGATGATTGGAGAACAGCTTTCTGAAATAAGAAGGTAAAACATCAAATACACTTGTATTATAGTAAGTATGGAAAGGTTAACAATTTTTGAAAATAAAACTTATGTTATCTATTTGATAGTTTCAGAAGTTAACCACTATAACATAACTATATTCCATCATAGAATCCAGGATTGATTGGAATAGGTGACCGCATTTGTACTTAATATAGTGTTATTGATAAAAAATGGATGTGCTGAGGTGTCCACTGTGTGATCTAACTACACACATATTTATATATCAAGTTTGGTTAGATTTGGATTTAGAATTTTTGAGCGATGAATTCAATATTATAATATTATGGTATTAACTGATATTAATGAGTTTTTCAGTAATTTCAAGTAATGAACAATATGGTCAACATCTCTCAAAATTCACTTGATTTTATTTGCTGAATCATCCATGCTCAGAAAATCACCTGTATAATACTGTCCACAGGTACTTCAGTCATAAGCTCTAACAGCTGACAATAAATATTCTGCCATCGGTTTGCCTGTGAAAAAATAATAGGCCAAGACACCTAGTATATGTATACCTGGTATATTAAAAATACAGGGTCCCAAAAACTTAATCCATGATCAGCATATCGAAAATTACTATTATATATATATATCATCAGATGCAGGTTTAAAAGTGAATCCTGAATATCATTTTCAAAAGTTTGGTGTCATCAAAATAAATATACAGGTCTGAAAAATCCTTGTGGAATTCAATTTGTCAGTCATTATAGCAAAGTTAGTGATTTTGCAGTTTTCATTGCACATAAATAAAACAAGAGAAGGTAAGCAAGACTTTCTCTTGTTGGAACACGCTTAGACAGTGAAAATGAATCAATGAAAAATACTATATAACATTATATTATAGCTTTGTATATACTGAAACACATACATCTGGTTTCCGAAAATCCATTTCTTCTACATGTATTTGGTAATCTTCCTTTAGGAAAGATAAACAACTTTCCCATGGCTTTAGTGGGAAGTCGTAAGTCATGTTGGCTCTGAAAAAATAGCAAACACCAGCGATCATCAGTCCTATATTCCAGTGACATTGAGAACAATGTTATGCTAAGTATAGTAATTATCCATTTATCAGGATGAGTGATTACTAATGTGAAGGGATCCAGGAAGAAGGGCGGCTAGGAGGAAGAACGAATAGAAAAATGGTTAACTAAATGTAATTTTATAATGTAAACTTATTTTGACATTTGTATGGAGTCGATAAAATGTTGCACTTTATTGCTATTGCATTACACTGTTCCCAAATTCAGTGCTCTCTTACGTAAACTCATGCAACTGATGACAGATTGCTCAATATATTTTAAGCATAAATATTCTTAAGAATCGGATTGCCTACCGTTGGGAGTATATTGTCAAAATTCAAATGGCGCGGTAAGCTATGGTCTAACTTCCGGTGAATAAATTGACGAAATACAAAATAACGGAGTAAAATTGAAAAATAATTTTTATTTCATCTTTGATATTTCTTTAACAAATTAATTCATATTTTGTAAGAAATAACTGTCTACTACTAACAATAGATGCGAGATAAATATGTATAGTAATTATACATTTTGAAATCATACCGTATCGTTCCGCCTTTATTTAACGTTCTGTATTATAATACAACCGCTGGTAGTTTCACTTTACGAGGAGTCGTTTACGATTTCATGTAAACAGTTAAAGGTGGTAACAATATGTTTCCAGAATTGAACAGTGTGTTGAATATCAAAACTTGTGACAGTATAATTGGAAAATCTATAACTATTTCTGAATCAGATGTAGATGGGCAGTTTTTGATTCACCACTTTCTGTCTTTTTTCCTACGCAATGAACACCCTGTATGCCTTATGACATTAGCTCAGTCGTTCAACCATTTCAATACAGTTAGTAAGAAATTTGGACTCGATCTTACAAGTAAGCGGAACAATGGACAGCTTGCATTCGTCGAAGGACTTAAGCTGTTGGGCGAATCCTTCATGCTGGACGACAGAGAAAGTGATGTGAACAAGGGTGATAACCCCTTTGTGGAAAATGGGAAATTCAGTAATGTGTTGTCACCATTGCACTACTATATTGAAAATATATGTAATGGGATGATGAAAGATACAAGTAAACCCCCAGTATTAGTTGTGGATGACATTAGTGTTCTTTTGAGCACGGGACACACACTGAAAGATGTAATTGCCTTGGTTTATTACTTACAGAATTTTATTTCTAAATGTAAGGGAACATTGATTTTACACATTAACAAAGGAAAGGAATCATGTGATGAAGATGCTGTGCAAGTGTGGAAGCATATGTGTCATTTGTTTCCTCTTCAGATTGAAGTTTGTGGCTTAAATAGTGGATATTGCAGAGATGTTCATGGAGAGGTAAAAATTGTTAAATACAATATTTGAACAGCTTGCAACAAATTGAAATAATCAGAATGTAGTATATATAGAAGACAATTAATTGAAACTTTAAGCATGAAAATTAGCACACTGTAAAAATTATTGTGATATAAGTATTAGTAGCATTCTTGAACTGAAAAATGAATCAATAATTAGGACTGAAAATCGCTGTAAAATTCAATGGATGTGGAATGAATTAAAATGTTCCATTTCTTTCTAGATATTCTATAGGAGTTACTCTATCTTCACATTTTGATATTTTTTTCCCGTTCCAGATAAAATTTGCTGTAGACAGTTTCCTAAACAAGCACCAAGTGAAGAAGACCATGCAATATAAACTGACAGATAAATCCATTGCACTCTTTGCAGCAGGCTTATCATCTGCAGTGCTGTGAACACCAGAAATACCCATTTGGATGTAGATGTTTTATTTTTCAGGACATTGCAATATAACTAAACATCAAACCTACAGGCTCATTTGTAATATACAATGTATCTGTTTGTCAGTAACAAATAATCTTTTACTTTTATCTATGCTAAAGTTCACAATACCAAAAGATGTCAAGAAACATTTTAGATACATTCTTATTGGCTCCTAATAGTTAAATCACTAGTATCACATTTAATAAAAAGGAAATATATGTTATAAACATAGTACTAATTATTTATATGGAAAATATACAACAGATACAGTTACATTTGCACTGCAAAATGTGCACATGTACATGTTATGAGAAAATACTGAAAAAGAGGCTGTTGTTTGGTAAACATTAAATCAAAGAAGACTAATATATTTGTGTGAGTTCATTATCATTTGATAATTAGAAAGATATACATGTATAATGAGCAGCAGATGTTTATTTCATTTTTTTTTCAACTCTGCAAATAAGAGAGCTAGCAGTAAAGAAGAATTAATCAGGTGATTTTAAGGGGGAAAAAATCACAGTGCATGTATATGTACTTAATGCATTGGTTATAGGGTAATTGTGCAGACATTTCCAGTTGCAGTAGATAAATATGTTAAGTATTTCCTGTTATCATGGCAAACATGTATAAACATGCATGTGCTTGTGTAATAATCTAGAGTGGCAACATGGCTAATAATGACAATACAACTCAGGAGCAGGAGACAGCAGTAATCTAATAAAATAATACAAATAGACACAGGGTAGCAACAGTAACTAGAAGTGAATGTCAATTCAAGTAAAGGATGGCGAAAGTGACTGGTTTGGTAAAGTAAAAACATTTGGTAGAAGTTCATTAAAACTGAGGATAGCATCAGTACCTAGGTTCAGTAACATGGCAGCAGTTACTAGATGTTCAGTTGCACACTGCATGGCAAAAGTACCTACAATATAGCAGTGGATGTTCCAGTAGAAGTGGGATAGGAAAACAGTGGCCAAAGTAACTAGGAATGACAGTCAAATTTTCTAGAGGTGACAATGGTAACTAGGGGCGACTGGCCAGTTTGTGGAGGTTGACAACAGTACCAAGGGGTGACAATCCTGTTTGATAGAGGTTGACAACAGTTCCAAGAAGTGACAGTCCTGTTTGGTAGAGGTTGACAACAGTACCAAGGAGTGACAGTCCTGTTTGGTAGAGGTTGACAACAGTACCAAGGAGTGACAGTCCTGTTTGGTAGAGGTTGACAACAGTACCAAGGAGTGACAGTCCTGTTTCGTAGAGGTTGACAACAGTACCAAGGAGAGACAGTCTTGTTTGGTAGAGGTTGACAACAGTTCCAAGGAGTGACTGTCCTGTTTGGTAGATGTTGAAAACAGTACCAAGGAGTGACAATCCTGTTTGGTAGATGTTGACAATAGAATCAAGGAGTGACAATCCTGTTTGGTAGATGTTGACAATAGAATTTAGGAGTGACAGTCCTGTTTGGTAGATGTTGACAACAGTACCAAGGAGTGACAGTCCTGTTTGGTAGAGGTTGACAACAGTACCAAGGAGTGACAGTCCTGTTTGGTAGAGGTTGACAATAGAATTTAGGAGTGACAGTCCTGTTTGGTAGATGTTGACAACAGTATCAAGGAGTGACAATCCTGTTTGGTAGAGGTTGACAATAGAATTTAGGAGTGGCAGTCCTGTTTGGTAGATGTTGACAACAGTACCAAGGAGTGACAGTCCTGTTTGGTAGATGTTGACAACAGTACCAAGGAGTGACAGTCCTGTTTGGTAGAGGTTGACAACAGTACCAAGGAGTGACAGTCCTGTTTGGTAGAGGTTGACAACAGTTCCAAGGAGTGAGTGTCCTGTTTGGTAGAGGTTGACAACATTACCAAGGAGTGACAGTCCTGTTTGGTTGATGTTGACAACAGTACCAAGGAGTGACAGTCCTGTTTCGTTGATGTTGACAACAGTACCAAGGAGTGACAGTCCTGTTTGGTAGATGTTGACAATAGAATTTAGGAGTGACAGTCCTGTTTTGTAGAGGTTGACAACAGTACCAAGGAGTGACAGTCCTGTTTGGTAGATGTTGACAACAGAACCAAGGAGTGAAAGTCCTGTTTGGTAGAGATTGACAATAGAATTTAGGAGTGACAGTCCTGTTTGGTAGATGTTGACAACAGTACCAAGGAGTGATAGTCCTGTTTGGTTGATGTAGACAATAGAATTTAGGAGTGACAGTCCTGTTTGGTAGATGTTGACAACAGTACCAAGGAGTGACAGTCCTGTTTGGTTGATGTTGACAACAGTACCAAGGAGTGACAGTCCTGTTTCGTTGATGTTGACAACAGTACCAAGGAGTGACAGTCCTGTTTGGTAGATGTTGACAATAGAATTTAGGAGTGACAGTCCTGTTTTGTAGAGGTTGACAACAGAACCAAGGAGTGAAAGTCCTGTTTGGTAGAGATTGACAATAGAATTTAGGAGTGACAGTCCTGTTTGGTAGATGTTGACAACAGTACCAAGGAGTGATAGTCCTGTTTGGTTGATGTAGACAATAGAATTTAGGAGCGACAGTCCTGTTTGGTAGATGTTGACAACAGTACCAAGGAGTGGCAGTCCTATTTGGTAGAAGTTGACAACAGTACCAAGGAGTGACAGTCCTGTTTGGTAGAGGTTGACAACAGTTCCAAGGAGTGACAGTCCTGTTTGGTAGATGTTGACAACAGTACCAAGGAGTGACAGTCCTATTTGGTAGAAGTTGACAACAGTACCAAGGAGTGACAGTCCTGTTTGGTAGAGGTTGACAACAGTTCCAAGGAGTGACTGTCCTGTTTGGTAGATGTTGACAACAGTACCAAGGAGTGACAATCCTGTTTGGTAGAGGTTGACAACAGTATCAAGGAGTGACAGTCCTGTTTCGTAGAGGTTGACAACAGTACCAAGGAGTGACTGTCCTGTTTAGGAGAGTGACAACGTTAACTAGAAGTGACAGTTCAGGATGGTAGAGGATTGCAACAGTAACTAGGAATGACAGTGTGTAGTTTGGTAGTTATCAGAGCGACGGTCCTGGAATAAGGTAGTGGCTGTGACTACTGAACATAAGAGTCTGACATGAAAAGGAAGAATATCAATAAAGGAGAGGAGTGAGTGACAACAGTAACTTAATGTGACTGGAAGAGACAAGTATTGGAGCAAGTGGCAACAGTCATTAATATTGACTTCAGTAGAGGGTGGTATTAAATATGGAAAGTGACAGTTTAATAAAAGGCGAGCAGAATAACGATCTAGCACGAGCGTGGGTGGTAACACTTGCAATGACTAACAGATGATCCAGTGGAATAAATGGCGACAATGACAAACAGATGATTCAGTAGTGTAATAAATGGCGACAATGACAAACAGATGATCCAGTAGTGTAATAAATGGCGACAATGACAAACAGATGATTCAGTAGTGTAATAAATGGCGACAATGACAAACAGATGATCCAGCAGTGTAAAAAATGGCGACAATGACAAACAGATGATCCAGTAGTGTAATAAATGGCGACAATGACAAAAATTGGCATTTCAGTATAGGAATGAGTGGCAATGGCAAGTAAATTAGGAAATGAGTCACATCACAGAAGGCAATCAATTATAGAACTCTGTGGCAACTTTACAAAAAAAAAAAAAAAAAAAACTGGCAATTAATTATTGGAGCGGATGACAAAAGTTACGAAAGGGCAGTGGGGCGTTGGTGGATCTAGTTGAAGGCGATAGTAAAAATGTGACACTCGAATATATATTATAGGATCGAGTCGCAATGATTCCAAAATGACAGTAAGTGGATAGAAAAATATCCAAATTATAATACAATAGATGAATAGTGACAGGCAACCGTTATCGAGAGCAACAAAGGATAGAGGGTTGCAACATCGAAAATACATTAACTTGCAATGTATGAAACAATGGCAATAATTATTGAGAGTGACAATCCATTTTTATAAGTTTGCAATAGTGACATATTTTGATAATCTTTTTTCACCCCACCATTATTTGGTGATAGGTTGTTTCAAGTGCCCTTCGTCCGTGGTCCGCTCGTAATTCGTCTATCGTTATTTCATTAAACAAATCGGGTACTGAATGGATAGTTCTCGAAATTAATACGCAGGTCCTTTTGGCTCTGTAGGTGCCTACTCTATTTTGCGACTGATCAGTAATTGATATGACGTGTAGATGACCACCATGGATTCTGAAAATTGTTATCGCTACTTCTTGGTAACTTTCTCAAATAGGCTTGATGACACGCATCAGTCTGATTTGACCTACATGTGACCGACAATGAAACGGAAATCTGTTCTTTTTTGGCAAATTCAGGCAGGTAATTTCAAAATGGTTTCTCCAAATACTGATTATCAGAAAAACATTTTCAATTTATTTTGTACATTTTTTTTTACAGATCTTTAAAGTTCCGATCTTGAGAATCATTCACTAAAACATGGGGGTGCCTTCGACTATTTTGGTGCACCGTGCAGATATGTACCAAATTTCCGACGGCTGTAACTGATTCAGTATGATCAGATCAAACTTCAAACCTGTCCTCACAAAATGGTGCAGTCTTGCGCTGATACTGCAAATTAACATAAAAATCAGGCTGGACCGAAAACGTCACAAATCTATGCTTTCCATCTTGAATTTAGAATTGCATTGTTTCGAGTCTTTTGTCTTGTTATCATGGGATCGCACGTTCGACCCTAACCATGGTTCGACACTAAAGCTCTACTATTTTTATATTTTCATTTTCTATACATTTCTTTATTACCTTATTCTCTTAGTTAGTATGCAGTGACTTTCAAGTATTGTATGCTGATAATCTTGGTCCCAAGTAAATTGTGTGTTTTTTTTTTCTTCAGTTTTCAGATTGAAAAGTCGGAATGGCTGTCGGACTACCATCGTTGATTATGATATCTGAAGATTGTAATTGTTATCAGAGACTGTTCTCAATTTTGTATAGATTCGTATGTTTCCCATATTGTATGGTGTTACCGCTTGATTCAGTTAACTATCAAGTATTTAACAATTACAGATGGGAAGAAGATAGAGGAATGGAAAAGGTTAAACTTACAAATAATCAGTTAAGACCATATACCATGGTGAGCATATGTTAACGACATCATTATGAACCCGGGCTCTAGAATACAAGAAGGGATAGTATAGAAAAGAATAGCCATAATTCTTTCAGTTTGTAACTTTTGAAATCAGTCTCAAAATTCAACAAGCAACATTAGAGACCGAAGGACGACAACATAAAATTTCAGAAAAAAATATGAAGTTATCAACGTAAATACCGTAGCGAAAACAATTCTCAAAATCCAGATCTCTTGACAATTTCGGCATATTTTAGAAACTTTTAGAAAAATTCACCCTGTAGTTAATCATGATTAGGTGTATACTGTTACAGAAACTGGAAGATTAAGACACTGCAAATAAATAAAGAGGTAAAAAAGAAAAATGGTCGAAGTTTTTTTTTTCTCATCCGGTCCAAATCAACCGTGAACTTACTAAAGTATGCCACTTAGCAAGTTATTGTACTGGCTTCGCTAGTCCTTTTATTCTCTCCGGGAATTAGGTGTATACATTCTCTCTGTGTACAATTCAAATTTAACCAATCAAGTGTGTGTGTTATTTTATAACAGTCTTCAGTTTTATTATGTCAGATTCATCCTTCAAAGATCAAAAAGACTATAGCATACCACAAGTTTTATAACAGTTAAAGAATGCTGTGAGTTTAACTAAGCTTTCTATTATGGAAATTGTACATGTAATAGTTACCTTACTATTAAGTCTGTAGCTATGTATTTGTTCCGAAGTTATGTTCGTGTTCCTGTAGATGTTACACTTTATTGTAAACGTTAAATTTTAAAAAGCTGGTGAGAGGGCAGTGCATTTTAAACTGCGCGTATAATAACAAAGTGTTGTTAACTTGTATCATGTTAAAGAGAATGATTTCATGTTTTAAATAATTCATTTCCTCTTCTGTTCAGTTTAAAAATATTCACACTTCAATAGTTACCCGCGAGAAAATGTAACCCATTCAACTAGCACTACACCTCATTTCACATCAAATAGATGATGACAGTTTATCAACATTATATACCATGGACACTTCAGAGCGTGTCTTGTCTCAAGATATTTGCCGTGTTCTAATTGTAGCTTCCCATTTTACCGTTTTAAGCCATTGGAGCTGGTATTGTTTTTGTACTACTTTCCTTTCCAAGTCATCACTGTTATACATATATAGAATATCAAATTTTCATTGTGCAGCAATTGAAAGTTCATTTCTCCCGTACATATAAAGTATTTCCAATGCCATAGTGAGTAAATAGCTAGTTTTAATTGAAGTTTTAAAAGTAAAACTATTAATATTATACTCCTGTAAAATATCAATGTATTATAAAATTGCTGGACTAATAATAATCATATATTTCTTCACTTGCAATAGATCTGCTATTAAATTTTAGAACACATTTCCTTCATTAAACTTCTTTTGTAACACGCTGTAGTTGAGTACTCGGATGTCACGTTATGTTTAATTCATAGTTTTTTTCCTTTGTCTTGTCCATCTTTGTAGCTGGTTTCATTCACAATGTCACATGTAGATCTAGAAATTGTAGAGATTTTGGCATTCCTTTGGTTTTAATATTTAAAAATGTAAAATTCTTAAGTCATCGGATTTTGGAATTATCATCCAGATTTCGAGGGGAGTTTGCAATACCGCAGGTTTGGACTATGGTTCAAACAAGAAATTTGGCACGAATGTTTTTTATGACATTATGACAATGTTACAAACCCTATACCACAAAGGGTACTTTACAGTTCACTGTTTAGTGTAAGTTGATGAAGTATCGAGTATTGGTGGCTGTAATGTGGCATGCCTTATCTTGAAATACATTGTAATTTGATAAAGTCATCATTGATACACCAGTATTGTAATGTAATATATAACTATGACTGTGAAATATTGTAATTTACTATATTGTATACAATGTTATGTAATTAACACGTGAATTCTCCCGCTGATAACAACGCTGTAATGTCATATGTGTACTTCTTTCCGTCACACTAATTCTCTTTGCTGCTGACTCAGCCTCTTTTTCATATTGTGATGTCGTCATGTCGAGTTTCGTTCTTGGATGCTCAAATAACTGATGTCAACGTACAGCTGTACTGGCAGTGAGCATTCCAACATTTCCAATAAGATGATAGATATATGATACTACAAGATCAGTTGACCAGTTCTGTATTACAGAAAGTCAAAGTTTATCTAGATAATTTAGTCACAATAATAAAATCACATATCTATCACCTTCTGATTGGAAATATTTCCCCCTAGCGCCATTTCGTCAAAGGTCAGTTGTGTAACTACCTACAGTGAATCCTTTAAACCGATGGTATTACCTTATTGAATGTAAGGTTTGGAAAGTAAGGTTTCACTGGAAATAGTTAAACATTGAAACTGTCATGTTAAATCATGCATAAATTTATAACGAAAAGATGCACTTTTTCAGAGAAGAGCTTTATTAAGGTTCATCATCATCATCATCATAATTTTAAACCGCAACACAGAAACAAATCAAACATATGTGTTGTTTCCGCTATGCATTTTGTCCAATGAGGGATCATCTGAGTATCGTATCCGTAAGCATCCCTCTACCAGGGAACATCTCAAGATGATTTTATTTATAATTATATAAATAACTTAAAGCTAATAAGTTGCTTTATGATAATAATATTATTAACAAGTAACACTACAATCACAATCTCTCTGAGAAGAAATATTATTGCATATTTCATAAATAAAAACGTAAAACATTGGGACACAAATCACAAGCAAACGAAAAATCCATCCAGGGAATTTTTCACTTGCGAGGCTGTGTAAGGCATCCTTTCTTATCGTGGACGGAGTAGCTGAATGGGACCTGCTCCTATAATATACTTGTATGACAAATGTTTTCTTTGTAACGTTGAAGAATACAGACATGCTCATCCACACTAAGTCCGCTGAATACACACTGAATAAACACAACAGCAGCATTCGTATCTTTGGTCAGTTTTTAAGTTTTAAGATTTTATCATTGTCCTTTACAATGTGGAATCAAAGCAAAATTCGCATCTTCTGAACACAATCCACATAAAGTCATTTGATTGGTCAATATCCGTCATCATCCCCCTCATTGGACGGTGTTACAGAACGGTATGAATTCACCACAGAGGATCCTCTTGTTCTAGGGGAAAGGTAACTGTACGAACTAGGGGACTGCAACAAACAGAAAACACTAGTAAGAAAAGCAAGAGACGGTTTATATGTCTCATTTATATACTAAAGACAGAACGTTAAAATTAAGGTAGAAAATATGCACTCCAGTATAAAAAATACAAGAACTTTATATTACAAGAACAGTTATCAGATACGAAAACAAAATTTCAGATAAATTTCATCAGTTTCGATAATAAAGAAAAGTTACGCAATGTGTATATATTATATTTCGCACTTCTTATATTTAAGTTAGTTTCAGAGTAATTTAAAGAGAAGCCCTGAAATAAAAACATCGTTTGAAAACAAGAAAGCAAAAACCACTGAAACTCAAAACACTTGTTAGGATGAAATTTATGGAATTAATGTAATTGAACGTTTCAGAATTCGTCGGGGTGGTGGATCGTTTCTTCAATGAAACGGAACAGTTAAAGATATCTCTTGTTAATTATCTGCACTTCTTCCAATGGGAACCTTCGGGAAATGAAATTTGCAACGAACTAATTTTGTAATCCATGCAATGATACACATAAATTAAATAAAAAACCTCTAGAATCAAACAAAGTGAAAATCACATTAAACATGAACGCCCGAGGAGACGGTAGATTAGGTATGTGATGATATGTGTTAAGTGGTGATAAGGTAGGGATCGTACTTGAAAATGGATGTTTGATCATTCAAAAACCATTGTCAACTTGACATGCAATGAATTGAGATTTTTTCGAAAAAGGAATACGCTTATCACTAGAAGGAAATAATTTGGTATTGAATTATGTTTTAAAGATATTGTGATCATATCTCGGGGTTGAAGGAAATGAGCACGAAAATTACAAAAGGATCACGAAACTGAATACAGGTACAGGGCTCTTCACTCGACCCATGCCGCCTGACTTACTGATTGTGTATTACTACTATCAGTTGTAAACTTCGTTAGATGTTTACTGAAAAACAACAGCAATGAATTATAGCCAACAGACATTAACAGCGCAATAGCAACGGAGAGCTAACGCTCGTGACAACTTACGGTATTTATTCAATATGATGATGTGCAGCCTGTAAGATTTGCAGGGAAAGGGAATGAAACATTAGATACTGTCTATACTAAAAATCTTAGGATTAATTCGCACTTACGCCATTATGAGCAACTAGGTTTCAAACATGAGTAAGTATTTCTAATATGTCATAGACTACTGATGACTACAAACTAAAGTTTCCAAGTCGTTATAATCTACAAGGAAACCAGAACCACGATCCCGCTAACTAAACAAAACCAACTGCCACACCTCTATTTTACCTCCTATAGCATTGTGGCATTGTTACTATTTGGCAGATGATGGTTCTCTCTGAGTACTAATTCCTCGAGCAACATTTGGGCTCAGTAATCCGGGCTGTGACAAATATACAGAAATCTAGTAATCTACTTTAAAACTTCGGTTAATCATCAAATTTAAAAATACAAACTTTTGAGATTACCATTTTTCCCACTATGTTTTCACAGCTATGTATTTAAACAATTTACAATATACGATGTTTACTTACTCAATATATCATATACGACATAATTTTTGATTAAGTGAAATACTTACGTTAGAAGCGCTAACGGATACGCTGGAGCGCTGGACAGATACGGAGCTACGGCTCTTGGCACGGAACTTCTGGAGGGTGGAGTCGGCGGTGTCAGCGCGTTCCTCAGCCTCCTCGAGCTCATGCTGAGCTTTGCGGTATTTAGCCAAGTTGATGGCAGCGATCTCTTCCTGTAAACGACAAAAAGAAAATTGACTATAATATAAATTATAACAAAATTCTCACTTGACATTTTTTATTGATGTTTTGTATGATATTCATACATGTGTCCATTATCAAGTTAATCGAGTCAATGCTCTTAACGAATGGATATATATTTAAGGGCAACGATATACTTACAGCCTCCTCGACTTGACGCTTGAAGGTCTTGATCTTGGCGTTAAGTTTGTCAATAAGTTCCTGGAGACGTTCCTGGTTCTTCCTGTCCTCATCAGCCTGGAAAGCCAATTCCTTAAGACGGCGGTCGGCCTTGCGCATGTTCTTCTGGGTCTCGGCGTGGCGGCGCTGTTCGGTGTCAAGTTCAGCCTCAAGTTCATGTACTCTGCATTCAAGTTTCTGGATCATCTTCTTGCCTCCCTTAAGTGAGGAAGCCTCAGCCTCATCCAAACGGATCTGCAATTCCTTAACCTGGCTCTCCACGTTCTTGCGGACCTTCTCAACCTGGCTGCTGTGATCCTGTTCGGCACGGAGCTCATCAGCAAGACGGGCGGCATCAGCCATTGCCTTCTTGCACCTCTCATCAGCACCCTTCAACTCGCCGTGCATCTCATCAAGATCGGTCTGCATGGCATTGATATCACCCTCAAGTTTCCTCTTCTGGCCCTGGACAGATGAAACCTGAGATGTGAGTTCATTGACACGGTCGTTGGCATCAGCAAGCTCATTGTCAGATGCCTTGCGGGCCCTCTCGGCCTGTTCCAAGGCAGCTCTAAGCTCCTCGACCTCACCAGACATAAGAGTGCACCTCCTTTCAGCCATGTTGTATGACTCGCGAGCCTCATCACGCTGTCTCTGTTCCTCCTCAATAGATGTCTGCATTTCCTATAAATAAAAATTTTTATATGAGAAATATTGTCACTTAACTATTACACACTTTTTTCTCAGATTTGAAACGAGATGTTGTGATTGGTATAGAGGAGTAATTATTTAACATAAAGAAACTACGTAACAGCGCCATAGAAAAGGATAAATACATATAAATACATGCCTACCCAAAATTACAACGACAAGTCAAACATCAAAATACTTTAATGTTGAATGAAGCGAACTGTACTATCATATATGTATATTTACCCTGATCTGTTGCTGGTATCTCTTAACAGTCTTCTCCATCTCAGCCTTGCCCCTGTTGGATGCATCAAGAGCAACCTCAAGCTCGTTGATGTCCTGTTCAAGCTTCTTCTTGATTCTCATGGCATCAGCCTTACCCTTGGCTTCAGCCTCCAAACTGGCCTGCATGGACTCAAGGGCGCGT